TCGGATTGCTTGTCGGTTTAGACGGTACCGCGCCCCGTGGAGAAGTAATGCAACCAACACCTGCTTCGCTTTCCTCGTGCAACGCAGCAGAGGCAAGTTGCACTTGTTTTCCAGAGGGCGCGATGTCGTCGGTGCCGAGAAGCGCTCCGATTGCAAACCGAAACTTAAAATCCGTCGAAGTTGAGTGTTTTTTCAGAAAGCTGTAAAATGTAGCGCGTGCTTTCTATCACGCTCCGTTGATTTTATATGGTGTTTTTTGATGATGCTCGGCAAGTTTCCCAATAAAACCATGCCCTTAAACTCAATATTAAAAAATACACGAAAATAATTAACAACCTAATTATTTCAAACTCTAATAATTTTTCTAAATGGGCCGCTGGCCTAAAACCAAAACGACACCTGCAGCTTGCGCGCGGCGCGAGAGGGTCGATGCTTAGGAGCAGCAGCAAGCTGCTTCCGTACCCGCCAGCAGATTACGCCCGTGGTGCCTTCTTCTCCTGGCGAAAACTGCAACTGCCGGCGATTCCGGAAACGGCCACCAAAGGACAACCGCGACCTGGAGCGCGCCCTAGCGCCGATACAGCGCCGCCGTCCACACCCTCGACGACGACCCCTCCCAAGGACGACCACGACAACACTGGCATCGACATGCCAGTGTTGTCTATAAGTACATTGCTTCCTTTGGCTTGTCCAATAAAGACATTTGTTTTCTTACTGGTACATGCTAGGAGACGGCTATAACACAGCACTCAATATTCTACCTAATAACATGCCGAGACCCTCTGTATTTTCGTGCTATTTCTTTCGCACTTAGTTTATTTCGCTGCTGCCCATGTATACTGGGAGCGGTGAAAATAAACATTCACTTGATAGTCAGCGTTGTCGTCTTTCTCTCCTTTGCTTTGTCCTTGTTTTGTCACGCTCTATTAAACCAAGATGCGTAATTATAAAATACAATTTAAAAAACTTACAGCAACTCTTAAAATGTAAGGAATTGTTTTTCAAACAACCCTGTTTAAAAACAATATCAAATACAAGAACATCAAGCTTAAATTTCCTAGCTGGGCTCAAAATAACAGTTGAAGGTAACGAGGTTTTAAACAACCAAACGCGACTGAGCGCTCAAACTGTTTCAGTGGGTTTAGGTTAAGATTTATTTTAGGGCATACTAGCAAGTATTTACATAACGCGAATATCTTAGACAGTGCTTCAATATCTGTAGGTGCATTATTCTTGGTATTATTTTGCTCTAAAGTGATGAAATATTCAGTTTCTTGTGTAAATATTAAACTTTCACAGTCCAAAAATGTCCGTAACAAAACCATGTCGCCCGTTAGTTTATGCCTTAAGAGCGTCTTTTGTTGCAATAGGCTAATTTAATAGTTTTGTAAACGTGATGAGGTTAACGATGTTAACAATGTTAACAATCAGATTAATCAAGCCCTACGCTTGATTAATCAGTATTACCTCATAGTAATACTGATCAATGCGGAATACGTTTCAACAGTACTGTATAATATTTATTCACTTTAATAATACTTTCCTTTTCATCGTTTGAATACACCCCTGCTCAGGTGTTTTCAGGCCACTTTGAAGAAATTCTAAACATGAGTGTTGCAAGGTACTACACTGGAAGTATCTGAAATGATTATTCTCTATAATGTTGTGTAAATTTGTGAAGCGACATCTCGCGACATTCACTAACAAGATTGTATTGTAGCGAACACATTGCATAACCCTGTTGTATGTTACAAGTCTCAGTGAGACCTATGGCCCAACTGCTCTTGAGCGCAGCGGCCTCTTTGTGCGCTTGCAAATCTTCTGACACAAAAAAAATGAAGAAAGCAAAAGCACACTCCCCAAAATACACTTTGCTGTGGTTACCTAAAGCGTATCTGAACACTCTCACCTCACTGGGCCGTCTCAATGCGGTCTTTTAATATATCAAGATATACGTTGTTTATATATATATATATAAGGTATAAGAGCCCCAACTTCACTGAAAGAACAAAACAAACAGATGAGAAAAAAAACGATATAAATTTTTAAACCAAGGAGTTTCTAAGCTCAGGAGTGCGCCCTACACTCTAAGAAAAAATGGAGGAAAAAAGTAGCAACGGCGCGTCTTCCTCCCTTCTACCGACGCGCCCCCAAGCGGACACGAGAAACAGGGAGGAACGAAACGTTTTTCTCCTTCTCCAGGCACGCGTGAAAGCTTTCGCCCTCCCGACTCATCATCTTTCGGTTTCGTTTTTCGAGCAGGTCGCGCACGTAGTTTAATTAATAGCTGTTGAGTTGATTGAGCTTCAGCAGCAGCGAAGCCCGCCTGTAATTCCGTCTTCTAGTTTAAACGTCCAGAACATATCAGTTGCATTGACGTTTTTATCACTAATTTTATCAAACGAGCAAACGAAGCCGCTAGAAACAGCGAAGTTCCGGAGCAGTGCCAGCAGCGCCACGTACACTGGGGGATGGCCTTCTCCGGATTTCGTGACTCCCGCGGCACGGAACTACAGCCACTACAGCACTACAGTCACTACAGTAGCGAAACCATGCGGAACTGTGTCGACGTTTTCGACGTTATGGAAACCGCAGGAACTGCGTCCAAGACAGGCAGGTTTTGCTGCGGGCTGCCTGGGTGCCTTCCCCCCTGAGTTCGGTTCTGTTTTCCGATGCCGAGTGCAACCGGCGTTCAACGTGGTTCTGTGTTTGTGCGTGTCAGCAACATAGCTGCAACATCGTGATGGCAGTGTTGTGGGTTGTGAACAGAAGACTGGAATTATCGCCGATGTGACCATGTGTTCGCGTATCACTGGTGTAACAAGAAGATGAGATCGTAAACTGTTGGGCATTGATGCCGCTGGTCGGGTTGTGATCGGAGGGGGCGGGGTGTCGCAGGTTGACATTCCGCTTTACATTAAAAAGTTTAATACCACTTGAGGGATTACGTGCAATCGATCAACGTGCGGATAGTCATGTTGGAACGCTGGTCTGAACAGTAGAAGCTCCTATCGTACAATGGCCAATTACTGTCGTAATTGTCTCGTCCCCGAGAGCGATTGCGCTCTGGGGCAAGGACAACAGTACGAAATCGTGACGTAAAGTACGTATATTTATAGTATGGAATTTCGCATTAAAAAACAATAGTAGGTAAAATCGAAAAAAAAAAAAGCTACCCTTTATTTCGCTGTTTAAATATACTACGGTTGCTGGAGCGTGGCGCGCTGGGATGAGCGCTAGAAGTTTTCGGGCTCGCCACGGCGTAGCTCCGTACACTTAACACCTGCCGCAAGTCGCGGCTTTGACTGCATTCAAGTTGATCGAAAAGCTATTTCTCAGTCCGTGAAGCATCACTTCCAGCTGACTGAATATCCGCACTACAGAGATTAATTCAAGACGGCAATTGCAGCTTTGCGCCAACAGCACAAATAGAAAAACATAGAAATGCAGGCTACGACGTGCCGTGTGGGGAAACAAACTCATGGCTTCGAACCGCATTGGAACGGCTTGATTTATTGGCTTTCAAATAATTACGGCATGATCGAGCGTTTACTTTATAGCAAGAGATTCAACCCCTGAGCCATTCAAAATAGTCTCAGAGGTATGATATTGCTGGGAAAAAATCAACATGCTGGGAATATTTTTTATTGCTTAGGGAGTCACCGAAAAGTACCGTACGTTCAAAACGAAAAGTATAAAAGGCGGAAACGCAGAGCACGGGTGTAGTGTTCGGGTTAGTGTGGTGTCCGTTGTATTGATATTTCTGTGTGCAGTGTATGTGCTTAATGTATGTTCACCTGATGCTTGTAATGGGTGTAATGTGTGTACAGTAGAGGATCCTCAAGCGCAGTAGTGGCCTGAGAAAAGCAAATTATTTTTTGTAGAACATGAATTGGGCAGTACCTAGCGCCACCTAGCCTAGCTACTTGCAATTACTCTGCTTCACCCCACCATCTGGTGGCTAGCGATTTAACCTTCTTTCACGCTGCGCGATAAACAGCGGCTTCGAGTTTGTTCTTTCGAGAGCGGCTTTTGGTTTCGCGGAGTGAGTTCGCCCTTCTCCGTGATGTGCGGTTGACGAAGGAATTGTGACTCGAGGAACACCAAAGGTAAGACGGAAAGTGCGCGAAGTGACTGGGTATCGGTTGTCTCCGTTTAACATCGCAGTGCTGTCGGCGAGAAGACTGAGTAACTGCTTTCGAAACGCAGGTTTCTGTATCTGTGGGGGGAATCTGGCTTCGGAAATAAACACAGTTTGCGGAAAGCTCGTGTTACGCTTTCATTTGCTGCAGCTCGCGTCCCGTACAAGAGACGTAGCATCCTCGTTAAGCCTTATTGGGCTCGATTTGCTCGATTCGGGGCCGCCATATTGAGATGCAGGCGACGGAGGAACTTTGCTCCCAGAGACGAAGGTTTCTCCCTTTCTAAAGGAACATAGGTTACAAGACCGTTCCTCCCGTAAGGGAGGACTATCCATACCCTTTTTTCTAAGAGTGTAAGGCAAGTAAACAGGTAGCATAAAAATTCAGTGTTCAGGTTGGGCGGCAAGCCTCTAATTAAATACAAACGTTATAAATATAATTTTAGTTACAAATTAATGTATTTGTACAAAGTGAAGTGCGCGCTAATACTTGCCAGAAAACAAGTATTGGCATTCTTGCTGCTTATTTTCTGTTTCTATTTTTTCTTCACTTAAATACCTCAGATGTGCACAGTGTCACATTCTGGTCTGCCGACCATTAGTTCTACAGGTGGTTGTCGGTTCATAGAGAAATCCTATTTTTCCATTGTAGCTTTTGATCCAAGTACTGTAAACTTTTAAAACTTTCGCATTTTATCGCCACCGCAAGCCTCGTGTCGACAGGCAGTTTCAGTTTTTTGCGATGCGTGGTTTATTTATCCGGACCGATAAACAGGGCTTCGTTTTCTGCGTCCGACCTACTCTACACAAGCCCCGCAGACTGGCTTCCTTACTGAAGTTCTAAAAAAGTCACGTCGGGTCTCGTTTCAATCCATTGTTTATTCCGTTCAGTTCGCTGCTCCCAGCTTCACTGGGCGTCGGGGTCTCGACAGGCGCACTCTTGGGAACAGTTTGGCGGGAACGTCCTCACAAAGCGGCCGGGCACCGTGGATGAACAGCAGTCGCCGCCGTCCCAGCCGCAGTGCTCCTGGTTGTTGGCGGCGTCACACCAACCATCGCCGATGTACTCCTTCCAAAAGAAAAAAGAAATTGGCAGCTGTATTTAGGTTTATTGATCAAGCTGTCATGTGCATATTGGCAATGTATCAGAAAAACTGTAAGTTGCAACGCGGTCCTTTTTTTTCTAATTGTTATTACTATCATTATGAATATTTGTATGACACACGGTTTCGTTTTAGCTTTTGCTTTCTGCACTTTGCTACAATTTTTTCTAGATAGTAAGAGAACCTTCCTTTATAAAAGACCGCCCGTGAACTTTTTCGCATAGCACGAGGGGGGAGGCAGTGATAGCAATCATAGAGAGCAAACAATTAATTAGGGAGCGCGGGGAAGATTCCCACTCAGAGCACTCACATGCGCTAGAAGTCAGGGCACAACTTAGATTTCCTTCTCAGAAAGCCAGCGCGTGCCAGAATTTTAAGAACGACACGTATGCCTGTTTCCTTACTAGATGGTCAGCTTCGCCAAGTGCAACTACTCGGACGGCGGGAGTAACCTAGTGGTTTTAGTGTTTAAAAAGAAATCGCTTCATTTTCCGGTAAACAGTTTATATATGACATTTTGAGAGCTCATCGCCCCAGAGAAAAATTTCCGAGTCACTGGGCTTTTGGGCGCATGTGTGTCGTCCGATATTTCGCTAAGGAGAGCAACAGCGCACGCTCCAAACGCGTTCCCCAGCCCAATATATAAAAATGGCAGCCCGCAGAATGAGGTTTTTGGAATGGTCTATGAGCCCATATAAACATAACCGCATAAATGAGAGAAACCTCGACGAAGTCGCAAACAAACAGTGAGTTTCGTTTACGTAATCATTCAAGAGAAGTAAACACTACGGCGCACGGAATTTAAGCGACTCACGGTGCGGCACTTTTGTCTGCATTGAAGACGCTCTGGATCCGGATGCCAGAGCCCGATACCGGCGCAGGTGATGTTGCCTCCCAGGGGGAGCTGCCTACCATCCAATGACACCACCGGTTCGTGATCCGGCTGGCGGCAAGTCACGTGGCACACCGAGCCTGCATTATCAAGTTTCCTTATTCTCAAATCTTAGTTTGTTTGTTTTTCTTTTTTTTTTAATGAATTCATTATTTTTATTGATATAAGTGTGGCCCCTCGAACGCGTTTCCGACTGGTGTATTTACATCGTCCTGAAAAGAGGTTCCTCGATTTCCGACTGAAGCCGTCACAGGAATGACGCGCTGTCACCTGTCGCGACCTTGCGGCGGTGTCGCAGCCACGGTGGTGTATATTGCAGACGCCTATTTTGCTGCAGGTCTCTTTCCAGCTTGTCCGTCTACAGAAGCTTCGTCAGCCAAAAGTTGAGACGCTTAGACGCCACTGACACTCAGGTTCGCCCGCACTTATTGCCGGTACTCTTAGGGCCAACCGTCGGGATCGCGGCATCCGAAAACATGACAAGCTGGTTGCTGTGACGTCATTTGTTTCTTGACCACTTTTGATGGTTGGGCGACATAAAACGCTAAACACACCAGTCGAAGGTGCATTCCAGGCACAGTCATAGAGGTTATAAAACAATCCTAAAAAAAACTGCGCCTTCTTCACACTTTTCTGACTTTTGTGCCACTAAAAACAAAAAAAAAACAACTGAAGACGTGTACATGAAACAATCGGAACATATTAGAGCACTACCTTTCCTTTTAAAACCACAAGAATGTAATGCCGTGTTACAGTGAAGCACCACACTATTTAAGCAATCTGTACAGCAGAAAATATTTCTCTCAAACCATACTGTGGATTCCTGGCATTACTTGTGTATGAATTTGGTATGTGGTTCAAGCCAGAGCCGTGTATACAGAGAGTTTGGCCATTCATTAGGAAGTATTGGAGTCATATGAGGAGACGCCATTAGCCGAAAACGTGCTGGGCGTGTTCCAGGGCGTCTTCGCAAATTCGACTCTGGCCAAACAGAAGCCAGAAATAATACACTGGCGGTGGTCGCGAGAAACTAAATTAATAAAAGCGTCGAGGTAAATCTCGGTGACTGAAAATGTGGTGCACGTGATGTTTCAATCACGGTCATCCAATATCATGGTGGAAGAGTGTAACTAGCGGAACGATCGACATAATCCGTACGCCTTACACCGATGACCGGGAATCTGTCGTCCGAGCGGTCACACTCTGTCCGAGCAAAACAGAGTTCGAGCGGTACATTCGTTTCTTACATATTTCTGCATGATCATGATCGAAACATTACGTTCACTCTATTTTCAACCATTGAACTCTTAGCCGCTTATTAAAACCACATATCTATTATTAAAACTGTTTCTTGATACTACCGCTAGGCGATTCCTTTCGGCTTCTGGTTGGCCAAGAGAACATGTCAAGCCCTCTTTCTGTGTCTGGTGCACACCCTGGCTCTGCCGCCACCTCCCTATGACCAAACTCTCTCTATACACGGCTCTGGTTCAAACCACAGCAATGCGTAGGCACATAATTATATTTTTTTACGCTAAACGTAAACTGCGTTTGAAATGGTAAAATACTTGAACGTGAATATTTTGCAAAAGCTTGTCAAATCTTCGTCATTGAAACTAACCACTGACGAAGTATCTTCTTAGATTCATAGCACATTCCAACTATATTAGAAAGCAGATTCTTCCGTGCTTTACCTTCGCCTACGTCAACGTGCTTTCTTCGCGATATCATCAACCCAACGAGAAACACACCACAATAGAAAAAAAAAGAAAATACTGCTCTTCAACTGCCATCGTCACAGACGCCCCTGAAGAGGAGGCCGAGAAGGCATTGAAACGTTGAATCCTTAATTAGAAACCCCCTTTTTCCTTTTTTATTGAATTGTTAGGTATAGTTTTTATGCTATTTTAGAAACATAAAAACTTAGGTTTTTTACGTTTTAGACATATCACATGTTTAACAATGTGAAAACATATACAATACATATACATAAATATTTAAACATATAAAACAATACATAACATCCACAATTTCTTGCTTTATTTTAGTTTCTTCGTTGATAACCCTCTGTTTGTAATTGCTCGAGGATAGTAATAAAAACGAACCTTCAACAAAAATTAAAAATACTCTGTAACCTTCATATGTTATTATAGTTTCTTAGTGAATATCGATACTGAATTACAAAGCTCGAATTTATTTGTTTTGTTTTTTCTTTTAACTTTTAATAATAAAGATACATGGTGAACTTTACGCTGCATGTACTATATATAGCTGCAAAGTACACTAGGAGCAATCACCTTTCTTCCTCTTCTCAATACTCACTCACAAATTAAAATTATTTTTGCTAAAAGTTAACTGCACACAGTACCTAAGAAATACAAAGGGCAACTTACGGAAAGCTCTAAACTGGGTGTTTTTTGTTTTTGTATTTTTAAACTTTACAGGTTTGATTTAAAAAAAGTTGTGAAAGATACACTTATGCGGTTTGTGCAGGTGAGTTATACCGCCAGAGGGACATCGAATAGGGGGCTCATCGTGATGATCAGTAGGCTAATTAAGACAAGTTTGTTAATTCACTTTTTCATTAAAAAATATAGTCATATGGTTCCAATTTAAATTTTGCTGGGCGTCATCGAAAACCACTAAATCAGTAATTTTCAGGAAGACTTTGAGCGCATGAGAAGCGTAGTATTGTACTAAAGTTACCACTCGTGGAGCAGGTATAAGGCTAGCGGTTGCGGTAAGGCGCCCGCGCGATTTTTCCGTCTCTTATGAGAGCCCAGCCTTGTACCTGCTGCACGAGTGGTACTGAATCAAAATTAACTGTTGGGCTGGGTGGCTATACATTGTTAAAATTAAAAGCGCAAACACTAACTTTAGCCCACTACTGCGCTTCCCACGCGCTGAAAGTCTTTCTAAAAATGACTGATTTAGGGGTTCTGGACGACGCTGAGCATGTTTCTAATTGAAACCATCTGACTAGTTTCACTATATAAGAAGTTAATTTAAAAAATGAGAGCCGTTTACAAATCCCTGTAACGCCGAATTGGAACGCAGCTCTTGAGGAGGAGTAGGGAAGGGTACTGAGGGGGGTCACGTCACCTGCGGGTAGTCACGTGACCCCGGGGGGGTCACGTGATCTGGGGGAGGGGGGTCACGTGACCTCGGGGGATCACGTGACCTCGGGGGATCACGTGACCTCGGGGGGTCACGTGATCTCGGGGGGGGGGGGTCACGTGACCTCGGGGGGAGGGGTCACGTGACCTCGGGGGGAGGGGTCACGTGACCTCGGGGGGGCCACGTGACCCCCCCCCCCCCGGTTACGCCGACGCCGACCAGGCTGGAAACGGGCCCCTAAGAGCTGCGCTCTAAAAATGAAAGCCGTTTACAACTCCCTGTAATGCCGGATTAGAGCGCAGCTCTTCAGGAGGAGGATAGTAGGGTACTGAGGGATAGGGTGAAAGGATACTGAGGGAGAGGTGACTCCCTGAGGTCACGTGACCTCAGGGGGGTCACGTGACCTCAGGGGGGTCACGTGACCTCAGGAGGTAACCCTCATGGCCCTCGAGAGGGTAACCCTCGCGACCCTCGTGAGGGTAACCCTCCTGACCCTCGTGAGGGTAACCCTCGTGACCTTGGTGAGGGTAACCCTAGTAACCCCGGTGAGGGTAACCCTCGTGACCCTCGTGAGGGCAACTCTCACAACCCTCGTGAGGGTAACTCTCACAACCCTCGTGAGGGTAACCCTTTTGAGGGTAACTAACCCTCGTGAAGGTTACGAGGGTTACCAGGGTTACTCTCATGAGAGTTACGAGAGTAACCCTCGTGACAGTAACCCACGTAAACCTCGTACCCTCACGAGGGTTACGAGATTTATGCGCCCTTCTGAATAGGCACACCTTGAGCGGTTTTCCACTCATCAGGTAGGAGCGCTGTGGAGAGTGTCTTCCCGTAAATTAAATAAAGGTATATAGAAATAGGTGGAACACCGCTCTTTAGTATGCGTGGAGATATGCCGTCTGGATCGTTTACCTTGTTTTCATCTATGTCTCCTAGAAGTGCTTCGATGCCCCTCACGCTTAATTTAACTTGTTCCCTTACTGGGAGTATGCTCATGTAGTATAGGGCTGCGGTTTCGTTTAGCTAAAAAGACAGATTAAAAGTACAGGGTGTCACAAATGAAAATTTACACGGTCTTTTTTACCGCAAAAACAAACTAGGCATCCCCGAACGCTCATTTTCCGCCCAAAGGTAGAGCTAGAGGTCACAACCAGATGCCAAAGTTTCAGCCCCATCCGATAACTTAATAAAAAGTTATAAGTGATTTTCTGAAAATTTCAATGGGAAAATGGAGTCCATTTTCGCCCGTTTTCGGTTTCTGGTGCCATAGAGCCCCATGTGTTTGAAAACTCCGTCGGCCGCCATTTTCCCATTGAAATTTTCAGAAAATCATTTATAACTTTTGATTAAGTTATCGGATCGGGTTGAAACTTTGGCATCTGGTTGTGACCTCTAGCTCTACCTTTGGGCGGAGAATGAGCGTTCGGCGATGCCTAGTTTATATTTGCGGTAAAAAAGATCGTGTAAATTTTCTTTTGTGACACCCTGTATATATCCAAGCACGTTGCCTTTTTCGTATCGTCTATAAAAAGTTGTTGATTACAACCAGTTTCATTTATTCCTACAAACTCTGATCCGCAGGCTTCAAAAAACTTCCAGAAATGCTTGGGATTATTTTTCAATTTGTCGTTGAATGTCTTGAAGTATTCCGCCTTTGCAGTTTTTATAGCAAGCTTATTCTTAAGTGTTACTTGAGATAATTTCTTTATGTGATTATTACCTTTATTTTTTAATAAATAACAAATTCCCTACTTCTCTTTTTTTAATTATTTTGATAATACACAAATTCACCCAAGGTTTTTTTACGTTGGTTTGAGTCTGGTAGAATTTATGCTTGAAACATACTTGTTCGCAAGTTAGAGCAGTTTGTTTTCAAACACCCGCCATAATTCGTGGACGTTATAATCCTCAAAAAGACATTCGAAAACCGGCAACAGGCAAGCTCCTGAGATATGCTAAAGTAGTCACCCTTTCTAAATAAAAAAAGCACTATATTTGATGCGCGCGACGTTGACCGGATAGTTTCTATTTTGACGTTTGCAACGACCAGCGTGATGATAACTTATTCCTCCTATAATATCAGCCGAACTAATAATGTTAGATGAAGTGCAAAACAAAAGGTCCTAAATGTTACCCTTCCAACTTGGAGCATTTACATATTTCGAAATTCCGAAAGTGCCTACCATGTTTGGAATTTCTAAATTAATGCGACTACCGACTTGCATACACAGTCGCCTCCCTTCCATTCCAAATCAAGTAAGTTAGAGTCTCCCACTACCAAGATAGGCTGTCGGGGTGCCACCGAAACTACGTCAAACAATGACTGATCTGAATTCAGTGGTTGGTAGAACGTCCCAAAAATTGTACGAAGAGTTATCAGGTAGAATAACTGAGCACCAAATTGACTCAACATTGTCGCTATCAAGATCTAGAATAGATGACTTAAGAGAATAATGAATTAGCAAAAACAACCCTCCACCGAGGCTGGGCCTGTCCTTCCGATAAGCAATAAATTATTTTGGGAACACTTCACTGTAAGCGAAAGACGGGTTCAGCCACAATTTTGTGCCAAAGATCATGTCTGCCTTAACAGTCTCTAGCGGACCAGCAATTCAACAACTTTGTTTATTATGCTTCTACATTTACTACAACAGCAACGAGGTCATGGCATTCACGTTAATTTTCCTTTCCGGGGCGTCATTGTTTCTTGAATGAAACAACCTCCTCTTCTTCTTTGTCTCACATGAAGGTATTTCCGTTAATAACAAGTTTATCGAAGTTTGGCTTTACCTTGTTATTGTTGTCTGCTTTTTTAGCTTTTGCATATTCCCACAGACGCTTCCGCATATATCGGGTCTCCGGTGAATAATTGAGAAATATGAAACACGCATACCTTATATTCTTTCTTAACCCCAAGTAAACTTATCGAAAGAACAAGCCAAGAATGTCATATTTCAATGGACAGATTTCATACCACTTAACGTGCATCCGATTATTCAATTAAAAAAATCGTAAAAACCGCTTTTGAATGAGTGCTTACAAGAGGAAATAATGACTTCAAAGTAAACATTTGGCAGAAATCTGCCTAGTTGGGTAAGAACAATTAGAAGAGGAGGAAGGAACGCCAACCAAAAATAAAAAGGAGCCCAACGTTTCGAAACCTGCTCGGTTTCTTCTTCAGGGGCGACTGTGTGCGCGAGGAGCAAGTGGTCTTCTTTTACGGCGGTGGACGTAATGTTTTCGCGATCGTAATGTGGCTGAGCCCGCTGACGTAGGCGGATGGTAAAGCGCCAAGCGACCGATTGATGTTTTGCGGTGTGGTTTGGATGTGCCATGACTCGACGAAGAGAAATAAAAAGGAGCGCAACGTTTCGAAACCTGCTTGGTTTTTTTTTCAGGGGCGACTCGTCGAGGCTCTTCGTCGAGTCATGGCACATCCAAACCACACCGCAAAACATCAATCGGTCGCTTGGCGCTTTACCATCCGCCTACGTCAGCGGGCTCAGCCACATTACGATCGCGAAAACATCACGTCCACCGCCGTAAAAGAAGACCACTTGCTCTTCGCGCACACAGTCGCCCCTGAAGAAGAAACCGAGCAGGTTTCGAAACGTTGGGCTCCTTTTCATTTTTGGTTGGCGTTCCTTCCCCCTCTTCTAAGAGGAAATAAAGCTGGAAGAGTCATCACAACTTTGTGACAACTGGTAATACGCTAAACATTATATTCGTCTAACTCATCGTCTTGCTGGGTTTCATTTCTTCTCGAGAATAGTCCCGCACACTTGCTAATATAAACAATAAAATATAATATTTCGGTTTACTTGTGTCATAAAAAATACGCGTGTTTATATTAATTCATGTTGGATTTTAAGACGCACGTTTACTTTTTGTTTTAAGAGTTTAATTAAATGGGCGAGAGAACGCGTGCTGGTATACGTACCTACGCGTGTATCAGCACATCTAAACTGTACTTTGTCGGCGACGTCCTTAGGCAGCGGACAGTGAAGATTGGCGAAGGCACACTGAGGGGGTCCCCTGTTCCAAACGCCGTCCAGCTCACACTTGAGTTCCGATTTCTGAATGGAAATTCCTTGCTTATAAACTGTTCGATTCGAGCAAGCGAGTCCCCAAAACACATTTACAGGGTTCCTTTTCACCGCCAAAAATAAACGACGCGTCACCGAACGCTCATCATCTGCCCAAATGATGTCCTAGCTGTCAATACCAGATGCCAAAGAGTCAGAACTAACCATTATCTTATTCAAAAGTAATAAGCGACTTTTGGGGAAATTGCAATGTGAGAAAGGGGCCCATTCGTGGTGAGTGGTGTCATTCAACTATATGTATTCAAGGACTCTATCGGCCCCCATTTTCCCGTCGAATTTTTACAAAGTCAGCTTTTGATTTTAGAAAATCAAATTTTAGGTTCTGAAACTTTGACATCTGGTTCGAACCGCCATGGCTACATTTGGGCAGAAAATGAACATCCGACAATGTTTTATTTTATTTATTTATTTATTTTTAAACAAATTGTAAACTTTTTAGGGGAGACACCTCGTATGAATTAAGGAACCTTCTGAAATCATTCTCATGGGATCATTCACAGACATACCAACGCCTCAAAGCAACACGTCCTAGATAGCCATTCCGTGTGCTGGATTTCCTTTATCGCCTACCAGAGGCCAACGAGCGCACATCAAAGGAGCACGAGTGATGCATCAGCGTAGTGCTGGGGACTCGTGTCCAGTCGGCCAAGACAGTGTGCCAGTCAATCTGTACCCAGTCCGGGTTTCCGGCGGATGAAGTAGAGAAATCACAGCACAGCGGCCTTGTCATCCGGGAGATGTTGCTCAAAGTATTCGCAACTTCCAGCGATAGTGCTACCAAAGTCTGATGATGAACGGTCGGCTCGCGTATTGGTACCGAAATGTGATGTATAGTGGTACCGGAGTGTGGTCGGATCGCAAATACATCACAGCGCTGAGTCAACGTCATAGGAACAGCACTAATGCAGCACATACTTTGACGTAACTTAACACTGACATAGCGCTACGCGAGCGCTGGATCACTAATACTATATCGCAGAGTCAGCGTAGCACTAACGAGATCAGCGCTATACCCGGCCCCAGCTAATGCTGAGAGCAAGTCGTCTGCTTCTTGCGCAGCAGTTGCGGCGACGTCAAACGATGCCGAGCTCTGATTCGCTTTGATTGAAAGGATAGTGGGTAGACCTCAACGCTAGAATTCTTTGAGGTCTTCCCACTACTTTTTTTTTTTCGATCAGCCAATAAGGGCTCAGCGTTCTGACGTCCTCGCCACCCCTGTGCAGACGAACTTGCGCTCCGCATAGCACTGAGCAACGTTACTAAAACACTCAGTTGGGAAACTCCCATAGAGACAGCTTTGAAAGAGTGGCCCCAAACTGTCTCCGAGCACCGAGCTAATGACGAACACAACGACACCATTTCTCCCGCAGCGGCCACTCGAGGAACTGCACGTGACTTCTATTTTGGCGTTAAGAACAGATATAGCGGTAGAGGTTAAAGGGGTGCCACCCCCGTCTCCACGGCGGACGCGCCGCGTTGAGCTATCGAAGTTAAAATGCACCTAGGGCGGGACGTGCTACCTGAAAGGCCCACTGAGGCATGGTTGTATAAAAACAATATTAATTGTGCCGCAAAACCCTGCAAACTAAAGATTTTAAAAACATAACGCGCCCCTCCTTTGGTACTAAACTCCAATAAGTTTCATACAAAAAGAGTCTTTTTCTTTTGTTTTTACTCAAAAACAGGCTTTCAAAAAGCTCAAGGTGACCACAGTACAGACAAATGATAAAGAGTGGCGCTGTTGTCGCATTTAGCTCGGTCTCGGTGGACGCCAGCGGCCCAGGTTTCGACGGCGAGTTTCCCAACTGAGTGTTTTAGTAACGTTGGCACTGAGGCAGCGCTGTGGTGTCTGCTAAAAGGTCTTAAAGATGCTCGATGACACCCTCCTGACATAAAAATATAATGTAAGGTTCTAAATTGTTTTTTTTTTTTTCATTTTACAAACAAAATGACATTTTTTACACATCACGGGTCTAACCAAGTACTGCTCTTCAACACCGATCATCCAGACGACAGCCATTTTGTTTGGCGCCAGCGCACCCCCTACGGATCCAGAAAGTTGCGAATACTTATTACGCGGTCGCGCGTCTAGAGCGTCATACTTCTTACGTTAGCGCTATGATACATCATACTTCTCGCTGTCACAGTGGCGTGTCACAGGTTCGTCACACGTGACGTATTTCAAGCCCGAAATCTAGCCGAACTCCACGTTTATTACCTTCGCCCTATGCCTTTCTATGGGCGGAGACAGATATTTCCAATTCGTTCAAGTTATTTTTGCGTCGTAATTTACTGCGCCGATCAGGGTTGTTGGTAACAGAAAAGAGCGTCGACTGGTACTCTGTTTTTAAACATACCCGTTTTTATTCGGACCTAAGATGATCCTGCGATCGCGAATTCGACCCGTCGGCGACCAACATGGCCGCAAATAAATGCCGCCGGGCCCCCCTCCGAAAAAAATAACCAAAGCAGGGTAAGCATTGATTTCAAAGCCCCCGGTCACGCATACTGAGTGCTGTAGTCAGCAGAACCAATCGCTATATTTGAGCATTTCAACAACACCAATAACGACGACAGTAACTAAGCGTTTACGTGAAAAACTAATAGGGAGAGTGGCGGGTGCAATTCATCAAGATGGTGGAACGCGGCTTTCCGGAAGTGAAAAAGGGTTTCGTGGAATCACCTTATAACTAAAATTACGCCAAGCTTTGCAACGCGTTTAGAGAACACGAGTGATTAGGGACAGGTGCACGTGCAGTCCGTTCCTGTGCGGTCTTACGCTGGCAGCGCCCGGACAGGCGAAGGCGCAGACAGAGCCCGCGTACCAGGCGTCTGTGCAGGCGTACAGGCCAGTGTAGACGGGGGGTAGGGCCGGACACGAGACCGGGCTGCACCCCGGGCCGGACCAGGCCCCCGTCTCGCTGCACACCAGGTGGAAGGACCGCCTGTGGAAGCCAGGGTCACGCGTTTTTCCCGCTGCCTGGAGCCTTGTAAAAACGTTCGTCGAAATAGATTCGAGTGCCATCAGTGCGCGCCAAAATAGTGAACGCATTATGCAACTAGGTGCTAGGGAAAAAATACTGACACAAAATCGCGAAAACACGTGCATCATCGAAAGATCGCCTCCCTCCTTTTTTCTATATCTCCACCGGGTGATGTAAAAAAAAAATACGGAGTGTTTACTTTACCGCGAACCACCTGGGAAAGCTGATCACTGCAATTTAAAGGCACAGCTCAAAGAATGACCAGGCTGAACCTAAACAAAGATTACGTGTTGCGGTACTGAACATCGAGAAACGTCATGCCCGGAATCACATCGCAGACTGCTTCTCTAGCTCTAGACATAATGTCAACCTCGTCATTCACCCAGCAGTATCTGTAGATTACAGTGATTGACCTTCTCGAGTGGTATGCCGGACCATTCACTACCCAACCCAAGTTTTTTGTAAAGTGCTCAGTGGGCGTTCATTTGTTATTCTAGGGTTTCTTGAACGCGCAAAGTGACCCTGGCTCGTGATTCATTCATTGGCTAATTCACACACACTGAGTGATGAGTTTGTTTTTTTTTTCTTATATTTCGGAAGCTCCTGCAAACACTTGCAGTGGTTCCTGTCATTGATATATTTCACTCAGCTACTGTGATTAGGGATAGCCTTCAAAGTACTAGTTGACGTTCATTGATCCGAAATAGTTTAACTCAGTACATGACGCTGCTCACTTTTTGTTAGCGTGCCCCTTGACGTGGTAGCCCGCCTTACAATGAAAGCGGCATTTGTGACCAAATAGGAGTGGCTCTGCTCCTCGGCAGTTGGTCATCACGGCGTGCGGAGGCGCCGAAGGTGCCGGGCATGCCACGTGACACTGATGCTCCGGCTCGGACCAGCGACCGTCCTTTTGACAGCTGATGCTAGCGAGCCCGCTGATTCCACCTGCAGAAGAGGTAAACCTGGTATCTTCAGCTGCTCAGGTTATCACTTTGTAATATCTAGTGAAATCACGTTAAGAGCTTTGATTTGAAGTTTATAAGATTTAACTTGTAATATGTCACCCCACCAACAAACAAACACTGTTCGAAAAAAAAAATAACAGAGGGGTGCCTCAAGCGTTTCTTCAAGAATTATACATTAGGTCAAATACGCTAGACAAACATGCTAGCCAGGAGCTGAAGAGTGACTATACGGCGAGCAAGTGTTTCAAGATGCGTCTTTCGCGCATCGGAACGCAAAGAGGAGCACGTCAATCAAAGGGCCAAAGAGAGAACGCCCAGGGAACGCGTGGCAATGAGGCAGCCGAGCGAGCGCCATGATTGGTTGAGGTCGGGGGGAAACAAAAGCACGTGGGCGCGTATTGGGGTTAAACAAACGCATGGGCTGAGCAAAAAGCAAACTTGCAGGCCGTATACACGTTTGCAAGTGTGATCTCAGAACGCCGCCATCTTGCCCAGTGAAGTGCGCTTGGGCGTGGCCATAATCCAATTATGACGCCTTAGCAAGGCTTCGTAACCGGATTAGGTCGCGTACAAGCGCACCCCAGCGAGCAAAACGGCGGCGCCCTGAAGCAGGACTTGCAAACGTGTATACACTTCGTGCGACGCGACCGGTTCGCCGCCGCACGGCCGAAACGAAACATTTGGTTCGCATTGAGGTCGGAATGGTGCGGTTGCACCGGGTTGATATCATGATCACTCGCTTCGTTAAGTGATTGAATAGTTGTGTGTAGTTTCTAGTGAGCCGGAGTTTTTTAATAGGCCACTTTCGAAAATCCCTCCATGCAACACTGTGCGCGCTGCACGCTGGGAACCAGTTAGGCACGGAGCGGAGTGGCATGGTTTCGGTTTCGATCAGACAGCCGCTGTCTGTACTCCTGCAGTCCAGCACGTGTACTTCCAAGCCTGCCTGACGTTTCTTCACACGCACGCGAACCTGCTTGCACAACAGGTGCACCAAAAGAGACCTTGCAATTCATCGTTCTACATTTGCCTACCCGTTTTCTCAAAATCCGGCACATCGGGAACCACAAAAACAGTGCCGAGTTTTTTTTTCGGTATCATCTCTCGGCAACACTTACAGTATTGTACAATCGCTGACAGTATGAGCTGAAACAGCGCACCGGCCTGTGCACGGTACTACCTGCGCCGCCTGTCGCATCGCTCCGCAAACACGGCGCACCCTGAGGCCGAGATAAATTCTCACTTCCGCTCACTGCCCCGCTGCGCTCTTCCGGCCGTCTGCTAGCGAAAATATTCGGCAACGGAGCCACCATCACGATGCGTGTGCCGTGCAGCCCAATGTCCACGTTTCCAGCTAACTTGCATTTCAGTGCATTTCAAGAAAGCGCCGAAGTGGAAAATGCGTTGTCACGCTCGTATCTCCTCGAGGAGCGCTGCCAGAAGGAGCTGCCTTGGCCCCCAAAAGATGCCATCTGAATATCATCGAACACGTTTGCAGGCGTATCAAGCTAGCCATGTCACTGCGTCCCCTCTACCGAGCCACTGCCGACAAATTGTGAAAGCGGTGAGTCGTGAATGGCTTCGGGCCGAGCCAGACTTCGTGACCGCGCTCTATGATTCCTTACCAGAGAGGGTGAGAGCCGTGGTCACGAGTTGGGGGAGAATGACGCGGTATTAACTTCTTTCGTAAGTTTTACTGCGCCTCGGGACCCCCTGAACCGGACTTCTGATGATTGGAACAAAGCTTGCTGCTACGGTTGCGACACACTGTTTGATGCCGTTAACTAGCCCATATTTTTGTATAGTGCATCCATGATCCTAATCTTCTTGTATAGTGCAGTTGAACTTCCACGCCGACTAAAAATCTTTGGCGTCTGACATTGTCCTCTGCGAATATTTTTTCGATGAAGTTTCAAGCTCCTTCTCCTGGCAAATATATGATGGTCACACCTTCTTAAGAGTAGGATTTTGTAAATAAAACACTGGTGCCTTGTCAGCAACTTGTTTTGCTTGAAACAAACACGTGGGCCCAGTAATAAACAAATACTATTTTTGAACATTTTACACAAATCAAGGGTACAAAACCTTTGCAGTAACATATATGGTTACAGTTTTCTTTTTAGACAACTGTGCTCAGTGAAAGAGAAAAAAAAAGTAAATACCTTGGAGCCGGCCTAAATCCAGTATACAGATTTTGGCCTATATATTACGATATCCTACTTTGGGCATGCACTTAAATAATAAAAAAAAACTGCAATGTCTTTTGATGTGGCTTTCAAAAACAATAATCGCAGCTGCCATTTAAGATACCTCAACATTTTTTTTTTCATTAGCAGTAAGCGTTTTTGCACGCAATTCTACGCGATAGAACGAAGTAAAACAATTGCAAAATAGGGACGACAACTGTAATCCCCCCCCCCCCCTTCCCTGCACACACGCCCGCTGTCGCACGCGCCGTTTCGCTAGCAGACGGCAGAAAGAGCGCAGTGGCGCAGCGAGCGGCAAGTGTTAATTTATCTCGGCCCCAGGGTGCGCCGTGTGTGCGGAGCGAGGCGACAGGCGGCGCAGGTAGTACAGTGCGCCGGCCAGAGCGCTGTTTCAGCTCATATTGTCCGCGATAGTACACTTGTAGAAAGTCGCAGCAATGAAAACGCAAGCAACGTGTTCCGTCACGACACGATGACCATGGCAAAACCTGAAACTGAAACCACAACTAAATGGTCAACTGGTACCTAGAATTCATTTCGTGCCACCGTGCCACCAGAGGCGCTTCGATTCAGGGAAAGATCCATTCGGCGTTGTTTTTTGGGAGCAGCGACAACGATGAACGCGCGCCGGACGACGCTAGAAGTTTGGTTTCCCGATCATGTCGGCCACTCTTTCGGCACTGCGGACATATTATACTCTTACGTTTCGCGTTCCTTTTCCTTTTTTTTTTTTTTTTTTTTGTCGGAACGTTTTTTATATTTAGGCGCCAATGGGACAGACTGGAATCCCATCCCCCACTCGCGAGTATGCGGTGCCCATTTTGTTGGAGGAATTCCCTCCAAAGACGTTTCTTTCCCATCGCACGTGTCGATGACAATCCCGGACCAGTATCGCATACGATCTGAACTTCGTGAAGAAAGATTCGCACGGCACAAAATGTGAATCTAAAAAGTCACTAGACTATCGACGTTTGAATCTAACTGCGTATAGGCTTGCCTTCTTTTTAAATTAGCCTCCTCTCATACGTGGAAATCGCCTTTTCTCACATTTGGAGCCGTCGGTAGGAAGCAGCTGATGGCAAAACAAAAGGCCGGAATAATTTTGGATCAAATGAATGCAAGGTAATTGCTACAACTAATTCGAAACATATCACCATTAAAATATCGAATAAATAATTTTAATGTAGATCAAAGATAAATTAGAGAAATATAACTTAAATCACATTACTTCAAAAAGATTGATTTTTATTTCACTAGTTGTATCTTTAAACACGGGAAATGGATTCTTCAGTTCTCTCTATCACTGAAAACTTTATAAAAGAAGAATTCACCGTAAACTAATTTTAATGTAAAGAGCAGTATAATTCATTATCTCTTTTTTTCTTGGCATATTACAACAAAAAGAGCTTGGTTTGTCCAGATACAGTGAAAGCTTTTTTTTTTTTGTAATTGAAGTGATTTTTTGTTTGCACAGCAAGCAGTGAATCACTCCGAAATTCATATGGAAATCCCATAAAAACAGCTCCTTTCCACCAAATTATTCTCTATCAGCTGCGTGCACACAATGCCACTGCTGCCATTGCTTTTGAGGCTGGTTACAGACAAAATATTAAGGGTCTATGAGCTGCACCAAAAGTGAAAATCAACAAAAAAAATTCAACGACGTATATTAATGGTTTTTATACTTGAGCACAGTTTGAGAGTTGTTTAATGGTAGTAACTTTTCTTCTTTTTTTTTCTTTTTTTTTTTTTTTTTTGTTAAGTGAGCAAGGCGGTGGTGGTATACGCTCCGAAAAGAAACAGCAAGTTTGTGCAAATCAAAACATATATCCTGGCCGATGCAAGATCAACCTCACATGTGCTACTCGGTCTCTCTGTCTGTGCCTGTATCAGTCGCTCTTTCTTTGTGCGCGCGCACACATACTTTGTTTTCGTTCATTTCATTCGCATTTCAGTTTGCTTGCTTGAGATACCACGCAATTTATAAGAAAAGAAGTGCAAGAAAAAAACAGAGATTACACATCCGATTAGAACAGAAGAGCCCTGCATTTTGCTTGTGCTCAGCCTGCTTTACGCTTTTCGTTTGGTTGATGACTCTTTTTGTTAAAAACAAAATAAGTGCACATGAGCAGAACTAAATTGCAAATAAGCCATAAATAAAAGCGTTTTTATAAAGTTAGTTTTGTGGAAACGTTTTCTTTTTGTGTGTGTATGTGTGTGTGCGTGTGTGTGTGTATGTGTGAAATATAATGTTTTTTGCGAAAGTACTCATTTTGAAACTGGTGTGCCTTAAATCAACTTGATCCTTATTCTCACCTTCAGAACTCAGTGGTTTAGTGGTAAGGCTGATTTCAGGATATGGCTGCCCCACGCGACTTTCTGAAAATGTGCAGTGGTTGCCTTCTCTGGAAGACGGGAAGGTTTCCCGTCAGAAGCCAGCCTGCATCGTGATTTATTGTAAATGTTCAATTTATTTCCTGGGATACATAAAAAGCGGAGAAATGCCAGTTGCAGGACTGCCCCAGCCCTCATGCAACGCCACCATCGACCCATCGACATGTCGGCTTGAGGAGCCGAAGTTCCGTTTGTGCGCGCTTCCGCCGCCACGTCTTCAAACGCGAAAAGACGCCGCAGGCTGCTGGACGCCTCTCACGGTTGAAAGCTAGCCCCTCCACTACTGGCACTACGCGCGTCTTTCAAACTCCGACCAGGACCGATTGGAGCGCTGCAACAGCTGGTGACGTAGTGACACAAGTATCACGTGACGAGACCAGGTATTTGCTCGCCTTTGCTTTGCTTTGGTTGCGTGCTATAGCGCGTACAGGCAGAAACTGTTCGCTAAGTGCATTTTGTTTTTGCTATAACGCAAAACGTGCTTAGGAAGAAACCTAAAAAAAATTCGTATCCGCCAAGCGAAACGATCGAAAGAAATGTGTAAGTTACGATGGAGTCCTCCAACAGCTTCATGGCCGCCAACACCGCTCGGATACTTCGCCAGGTAGACCCACGAGCATACTTCTACGTGGTTTTCCAGCGTTTCCCTAAAGGAGCGAACGAAAGGGAATGCGTACTTGAAACTACAGTCCTCGGTGAATGCCGCTTGATTCACGGATTTCGGAAGCAACGAGAATAAACTTAACGACTTCAGCGGCCGCTCAGGTCTGTGGGAAGGCCTAGCATGCAGGGTGGGTCGGGGGGCCCAGCAAGGCACTCGTCACTCGATCGCTGCCTACGACCAGCGGCCCCGTTGAATGAATATGTTCGCGCAACCTTTTTCTTTTGTTAGGTTGACCATTTTGTATGAATAATTTGAACCTGTCAGAATGTGAGTTTTATATCTTCGTCGTCCCCTTGTTATTTTCAGGGTGTTGCGCGAAGGTGGCGGATGCTCTTTTCGCAGTGACACACTCGTCACTTTTATTTACTGCTTTCTTTGACGTGAAAATCAAATAAATACGCTACGGATTACCCTCGCAGCATGTGGTACAGTTAATTAATCGTGTGTGTCTCTAAAACCGCGCGAGCAAACTACGAAGAAAACCGACGATCGGAATGCCAACTTCAACGTCTGCGCGGTCATCCTCGCGATTGGTTTTTATTTGCTTTGTCTGTTTCAGAGAAGCGTGGAAAAAAAATTTAATAAAACTCGTCCCGGGAATCAAGCTGTCCCTAAATCTACCTGTTTTGTGACCTGACAGGCCTCCAAAGCCACGACGACGACCGATTTACTCGTGGTCAGTACGATAACTCGAGGTGGTGTAACATGGGTCCTGTTCCCTAGGCCGCGACGCCACTGTTGCCGCGCTGCTTAAGTTTAATTTTGACGAGAAGTACAACGGAAGGTCAGAAGCAACCCTAAACTCTCGTTCAAATGAACGAATCAAATATGAATTGTGAACGACACACCTCAACCTACATGCTACCAACGAAGCGCAGAAGTGGTCACGTCATCCTTCCTACTGCGTGAAAAAGAGGAGCCGCCAGGTGGCGCCACTCTATCTTCTCGGGCGTAATAGTTCCCGCACGGAGAGTCCAGATATTGACACTGCCTAAAAATAAAGGAAGCTAATAAAAGGAACAGGAAGTTTTTAGGGGTAAGCCTAAACTTAGCTAAAAAACTTTGCTTAGTTTCGTTTCAATTTAAGTTCAATATACTATACATTCCCTGCGTCAACTAGGGTTTGCGAGCATCATGCGCTAGTACCACCTTACAGTACTAGCTTTTGTCATATAAAGAGATGCATTGGTCTAGTCGTTGTGAGGTACGCTCCTTGGCGTTTAGGTAAAGCTCGGTTAGTCCAAAACTATAAACTGTTCTCACAATTTTTTTTTTTTCAGCATTATGAGCTGCAGGATATTGTTGGCTTTTATGTGCCGCAACATAGCACACCAGTGAAATTCTCGCTCACACGACTGCCTGTTTCTCTCGATTAAGACCAGTTTAGGGGCGTTGGAAATATCTTATCTCGCATAATAGATCGTACTATATTTTGATTTTTTTTAAGGCTCCCACACTAGCTTATTCCCTGGAAACACGTCATCTTGCATTATAAAAAATTTACTGCAACTTGACACTCCAGGTTTAAATAGTGCGCTATTATTAAGATAAAACACCGATAGGTAAAACGTAGTGCAGCTTGCGTCAGCACTGAGCACGGCAAGGCAATTTAGACTTTTCTATTTCATTAATTGAAAAGAAATTTAATAATATCAAATTCTTTCACGCTCAACATTGAAGGCAAGAATCACATAAGATAGATCACACGATATAAAGTCTTTGTTGTATTTGTGTATAGAAAAAAAATATCATTTATAATTCACGTAGTCAGGTCTAACCTTCGTTGCATCAACGTAAAGTCGGGGCCCTAGATGTCGATACAGTATAGTTTTGGCCCATGCGGAAATCAGTCTTCAGTAAACGGAACCAACTGCGCGTCCAGTCAAGCTCAGAAGGGCCCACGCAAAGTACCCGTATAAAACACGACGCTCTTGAATAGGACCTGAAAAGAACTGCTCCTAGAGCGACTCGGCTGCACTTATAGCGTGGTTTTGCTTGCAGTTGTAGCGTTAGTTTGCACTCACAAGGTCCATTATGTTAGCACAAAAAAGCGCTTTGAACCAGTCAGATCTGTCAGAAGGACAGCTCAACATGCAGACGTGAGCTAAACACCACTCATGACGGAGTAATGTAACGATAACATGGGCCGACAGCTAGCCAGATACATTTCTTGCTCTCTCATTTGCTAGGCTTTATGAATCACGACCAACAATAAGCTGCTTATTTTGCATGCAACGAGTTGTAACGCCATGAGCAGCCATAGTAAAATGCAATTTTTCACGAACTTCAGTTGCGTAAGAAATAGGAGCTCAAAATGCTATGGCCACTAACCTTTAAACCTGGCCGGCGGCCTGCACTTGAAGCTGCAGGTTTTACCGAACGTTGTCCCTTCTGCACACATGGGGTCCGCGTGAGCAATCACAGGCATCTTGCAGTCCACTGGCTTGCAGAGAGTTCCTGAGCCCCTCCATTGCCCGTCATCACACACCAGCAGACCATGGTCCCCCTCCCCTTCGGCCAAAGCGTATCCCTCGTCACACAGAAGCTTGCAAACATCCCCTTCTCCGAGACCCTGGCACATCAAGCGAGCGTTCTTCACCAGGGGCTTCTGGCACCGCGGTCGCTCGCAGCTGTAATCCACGCATTTCTGAAGACCTGGATGATACAACTGCGTAGAAGAGCAGCTCGAGAGCGCGACAGGGTTCAAGGCATTCGATGAACGCAGGCGAATCGCCCCGATGGACACGTCTGGCGTTGCCAGGGTTAGCCGCACCGATCTGGTTAGGTGAAAGCTCTTGCTTAGGTCATGCATGACGTTCACTTCGATCGGGTTTGCCTTGCACGAGACGCGCCGGGATTGTACGTAATGAGGGGTTCTGGTGAAGTCTTCAGGTTCGGGCAGGAGCTCGACGGTGAGCAGAGGGGAGATATTGGCTCCACCGTCCGAGGCTATGTAGACGTGAACGGCCGTGGCAACGACGGGTCTCTCAAAAGAGGCAGTTAAGACGGTAGATGATGCATCGGGTGCCTCGCACGGGTACCAGGAGTGAGTTGTGTTCAAATCTGAGCTGCAAACCTATTGGGAAAAAATTTAACAAATCGAAAATTAGCTTCTCTTTTTATTTTATGTGGCGGACTTGAGGGTTCAGAATTGCAAGCATTATCTGTTAAACTGATACAGTCCTGCTTGCTGCTGAGGCCACGTTGAATAAAAAACAAAAGTAGTCCCAAGGAAGTTATGTTTCGCATCTCTCTCAGGATTTAAGTGTCATTTTTTCATACGTGCTGTGTGTGTATTGATGTGTCTTTTTGGTCATAGAGACCGACCTTTTGAAGCTCGGTGCTGGCATTCCGCTTTCTTTGCCAATTTTGCGGGAGATAATCCCAAAACGTTGTTACTTCTTCGACTAAAAAATAGTTTCGACTATATCTCCAATAGCACGTTTTGGTGTTTTTGTCGCAAATGCGGATTTATTATTTATACACTCCCTCGGTTCTTCCGCAACTAACAGGAATTATGGTTTCCCCGTGTGCGAATATAGCGTCAAATTTGTATACCGCTTACCTGTTTCTTAGGTGGAGGACCCAGCAAGGCTTCCGGTCGACACCTATGACTAACGGCGTCTTCAGAGACGACCACCGAGGACGCCCATTGGTCGAAAAATCCGGGAGGAGTGAAGAATCCACAATCTCGGGTATTGAAGTGCTCTTCCGAGGGCTCGCAAATTCCGTCGTCTTCGTGCGCATAGCACAAGCTTGGTGAGCCTTTTTGCCAAGAAAGGAAAGCGCGAATAAGCGATTTTACCTTCATAATAACTAAAATGTTCCCATTCCCATTATATATATATGTATATATATATAATGGGAATGAGTGACGATTAACAAGTGCAGCCGTAGTAATATTGTGAATGAAGAGGAGGGAAGGTGATTATTGAATTTATTGCATTAAAGTTAGGGAAAGGGAAAGGGAGATGGCGAAAAATTGGGCCAGGAACGGGCATTGAACCCGCAGCCTTCGCCTGTCCCGGGCGACGCCTTAACCGACTAGACCATCCCGGCCACTGGTTTCGGCGGACTCAATTTCTGACCAGCTCTCTGTGTACTGTTTAGTTTTGAATTCGCTTAAGCGGATACAATATATATATATATATATATATATTTGTTTTGCGGCGACGAGTTGAAGTTGCTCGAGCGGTTGTCAACTTTACTTAATTTTATACATTGCGCGATTGCGACTTTTTTTTTTACAAAATAAAGTTAGGAAAGAACTGGGGACAGGCCTTAAATTAAGGCGATGTATATATATATATATATATATATATATATATATATATATATATATATATATATATATATATATATATATATATATATATATTGCTTGTTTAAGTTGACCGTACATTAGGTTTTTTAGTACTCTAAACACTCACCGACAACTTAAGACAGGGCGTAACGGGTACTAAGCATCCCATTATCACTTCGCAGCCAAAGAGATTGCAGCATTTGCCGAGAAAAAATGCTCAACAACCAATCACGAAGTAAGAGGCGTAAACATGGTAAGCCACACCCTACGCTTCATCCGTCAGTGACTATGGTTAACAATTATATTGCGTCCGCGCCTTTCGGCACCCGATTGTGTACAGTGGTCAAGGATCTTAATAAACTTAGTGATCACCGAGTATCACCAACACAGACGCGTTGAGTTAGTATAATAATCTAGACGGAAGTTACTATGCATAAGACCCCCTTGGGAACGGCGGGGCATTGACGCCGACATCGATAGTCCCAGTTGGGCTGGCCCCGGTTGGGCCCATATTGCTGGTGACGCCTTAATATGCGCGAGCGACCAGCGAAACATCGCCTTAATTTAAGGCCTGTCCCCAATTCTTTCCTAACTTTATTTTGTAAAAAAAAAAGAAAGTCGCAATCGCGCAATGTATAAAATTATGTAAAGTTGACAACCGCTCGAGCAACTTCAATTCATCGCCGCAAAACAAACGCGCCTAACCTTTCGTCTGCTTTTTTTTCTGCTCTTTTGTCGTTGTTTGTCTCGTCTTTATCTCGGGACCGCCAATGTAAACGCTCAGGATTTGCAGTGTTCTGCTTCCGCCTCTAGCCCATTGCAACGGCGAAACTTTGTAAACGTTTCTGAAAGTCTTCCTATGAAGCTATGTGCAGCCACAAACTTTCTCAGGCTCCCCTGTCCAGTTGAAACAGTGGTTAAAAACGAGTGTAGCCTCCTTGTCCTGATGACTGTAGGAATGTTGGTTGTGAGGGTTTTGATTACGGTGGTTTTGGTCGTGACTGTGGTCTTCTCCGTTCTTGCTGTTATTTTTAGCTTGTGGCACCTACAACTTAATCCGCCGTACGTGAGCTCTCGTGCCGTCGGAGTAGCCGTAGCTCATCGTGGGTGTTACAACACACGAAAGCAGATACACAATTTGCACAGGCACATAAATAAGAGGACATTCACGCAGCGCTAATTTTTTTGTTTTAAATTTCGTTGTCATTATTTTTTCGACGCGTTAAAAAAAAACAATTAAAATCCTCTGCTACTGCCTCCTTGAATTTCTGGCAAAGTAATATAGCTCCTTCCCTAACAAAGGTAGAGACGGGGTGCTAACACACTGGTCGTTTAGCCACTCTACATTTTTGATCTCGATAATCTTCCTGTTGATATGTTTACCATTCCCCCTAGTAGGGTGTAGTTGTTTAGATGTGCCACACAACCGCCATTCCGACAATTAATCCCTAGGTATTCAAAGTTGCCTTTGAGAATGCTGTTCTTGTGTTCCCTAGGTCAGTCATTGAGACGACGTCTAGACTTGGCTATAGAGCGTCTTCCACAAGAAAGAAAATATAGACCGGCTAAACGGCCAGTGTGTTAGCTAACTTAGTCAGGGAAGGAGCTATATAAATTAGCCACAAGTTCCAGGTGACAGTAGCAGAGACTTTGAATTGGTTCTTTTAACCCGTCGAAGAAGAAGAGAAAACGATTACGATATTAAAAAAACAGGTTTGTTAGTCAGCGCTGTGTTAGTGTCTCCCTTGTTGTGCGCATATGCAAATTATGGGTCAGCTCTTGTGCTCTGTGACATCGGAGATATGAACAGCCAAATTACCCAAGCTGCAGTCATGACCCGGTGGTTATGCGTAAAACAAAACTAGGAAGGCGATGCTACTACTCTCCTTTCGCACAGTTAAAATGGCCAAGATGGAGGCCGCAAGCTCAGGCGCATTCTTTCAAGGCAAATCTATTATGAGATGTCAGACATGTTCTGCTCGTCAGCAGCCTCATTTGGTTCTTATTATTTGCAGCACCTTTCCAGTTACACTCGCGTAATTGGTCTCCGCGAGCCAGGATTACACTTCTAAGATTATTTTAAATCTTACGTTATATTATTTTATTGAGAGCAATAAAGCTTATAGCGGTTTAACACGATGCATGCATTACCATATATGTTTGCAAGGAGTTTTAATCATGTTAAAAATTACTTGAAAATATAAACATGTTTTTTATCCGCATTCTACTCGGATGTTCAAATCAATCATGATATTCCACGGCAACATTCCAATATACGAGTATCGAGTGAGTGGTGAAGGAAATAGACCTTGGGAAACATAAAAGAAAAAGGAAACAAATCTTATGAACTCCTTAATCACTGCCTGTAAGGAGACATTAGAATTTTAGCCAGATGGAAAGATGTTTTCTAGATTGTTTTGTGAGCAACGGCTGACACCTGCTTGTACAATTAGTAGATCCCTTCCGGCTGTAAAAATCCACTTGCATGTATGTGCCTTTACGTTTCGAGAAAAAGCAAACTAGGATTCACCTTTGCATTTAAACTTATTTTCGAAGTTGCATTTTCCGCCACAGCCGTCACCCGGAGAAGTGTTTCCGTCGTCACATTCCTCGTTACTGAAAAGCAACGAAGAGAATACATTGCATATGTATAACGCATGCGGCATTTAGTTCGTGCGCGTCCTGTAACCTGCCAATTGTTTGCCCTTGAAACAAGATGTTGCAATAAACGTTTCACTATATTACTCACAATTACTAAAATACAAAAACAAATCAACAAAAATTAATTAAAGTTAGAATAAATCTTGGAAATCGAAAGTACTTTTTTAACACGTACGTCGCTCTAACAAACCCTACGGTTTCTAAGGACGAAAGCAAAGCCCCCATTGAAAAAAGCAGCCGTTGAATTGAGCTTTGAATCTTCGTTAGACATATTACTATCGGGGTATTTTCTTTAACTGCTAAAGAGACAACAGCAGGGGAGAGCGGCAGCCTGTAAAAACAGAAACAAATCTCACGCGTCCAGCTTGCCGTCACCGCAGTACCCTTGCCCGTGCACATATCGAAGCACGGGAGACATGTTGCTGACTCTGTTGCCCATCCAAGCTTGAACCTGGTAACGGTATTCTCCATCGGGTTCCAGTTCTCTGCGGAGCGGGATGAACAAGCAAAAGGGTGTCTGGTCCACGAGTTTCGCTGGTGTATTCGGGAATATTTTAATACGGAGCTGAACACACATGCGCGCCATACCCTGAAACGATCAAACTTTTGAGGTTGTTTGTTAGAGCCAGTGTGAAGGACAGTAAAACAGACGATTATGTTTATATATAAAAACTCATGAGCTAAGAGTGTGGATATATTTTACCGTGCAAACAATAACGACCTAATCAAGCTGACATGCCTCATGTTATCCCCCTTTCATGTTATATTTTATTTACTTTTATTGCGCGAACGAGCTTCCAGACTTCTCCCAAGTGTAGGCTTCGGCAATGTACAGTTTTTTCTATTGTGGCACAAAATGGGAAAACATTCGCAGCATGGCATTAATTTGGGCTAGTTCGTCTTTAACATTAAAATGGTACAACGGTATTAAAAATACGGAGCACACAAAGAGGAATGAATGAATGAATGAATGAAGGAATGAATGAATGAATGAATGAATGAATGAATGAATGAAATTGGGTTTTTTTGGCGCATCAGCAACAAAGGCCGTAGTGCGCCAGAACTATCACAAAGAGATGTACATACAAAAGGCACTGTTCTACTAGCACCAAGGATGTTTAAATCCCCCCCGTAAAACGCCTCTTAAATCATGCACAAAGACACCTCTCAAATCGGTTTTAAACAAATATAAAAACAGGTCAACAGGTTGCTATCCCTCATAATTTACTAATGCGGCACGCACACATCTGTGAAATGAAGTCCGTCGGCCAGTCGTGAGTCTGCTGTTGAGAACGGCGGCTCCCTGAAGACGCGGTAACGAAGAGGCTTGCACGAAGCACACGATGCGTGGTTGGCCAATGAGACCACTTGCACGGAGTCCAGGGCCACCATCGGACTAGCGGCGACGGCAACAATCTGCGTGTAAATATGGACAAAACGTATGTCTCAGAAAAAATATTCGTGTCTCGAAATAAGAGCGACATACGTCTGACATCATCTGCTGTGCACATTATCACACCTAGAGCGAAATTTATCCTTTGGACACATTTAGAGTACATTGTTAATTAAGACAAGAGCAATGTCGACAATGTAGAGAAATATAAGGCTACCTTGACTAGTTCCTTGTCGGTGTCAAGCTGCATGGTGTAAGGCATGTCACAGTACGCGGTAATGTCCTTCATGATATGCTCCGACTGATCCGCATACACCAGCACCAGTTCGCTGAGGCCCTCCCTCGAATTCCAAGGCATCCATAGGGACAGCGCCGCGGGCACGACGGGTGTCTCCAGTTCCAAAGTAAGGGTGCAGTCTCGCCGGTCATTGCAGGTGTCGGCTGCCGGTAACCATGCCCTGTAGCTGAGTGTGCAGACATCGGCGTCCGGTGGGCCTGCGTTCGACATCAATTGAACATATTAGTTTCATGGTATCTGTTTCACCACCAATGCCTTACTTTAGTTTGTAACGTGATAACGACTTTTTCTACAGACTTGCCAGTTGCCTGTCGTGGTTCCCAGGCATCTCTGTGGTTGGCGCCATCTGTCGCCCTGATGGCGTACTGCGAGAGGGCTCGAGTTTCGGTGCACAACGAACACTGGTCTTTTTGCACGCTAGCCACGGACGGCGCCCACGACAAGGTCACGCTGTGGGGTCCCGACACCACCGGCACGGGGGCCATGGGGGGCTCGGGGATTCTCGATGACCCAGCACCCGGCTGCCAGGAGCCGTAGAAGAGGTCCGCGTAGCAGTGCATTCGAGCCACCTGCTGTTGGCTGAACACGCTGGTGCAGGCGTCATCTGGAGACAACATACGACTACCGCTATGTATTACAACAAGCATTCTGTAGCTGCGTTAGAACCAGACATGTACATGTCACTAAAAAGATGTAGTGAAGTTAGTGAGTAGCGGCATTAATGTAATTTGAGTAGATGAAAAATTACACAATTGCAATGGTAATGAAGTAAACTACTAACTACCGTGAAAAAGTATCGATTTACTTCCTGAGGGTGTTTTTATCTTTATGGTAGCAAGGAAGAATATAAAATTTTTATTCGTTAACAAAATCCCATTAGCCTAATAAAAAGACAGCTATTTTTCTTGACCAAAATGCTCTGCTTGCTTTCAAAGGCAATCTATGAAGATTTTCTTTTAATGTGCTTTTGTGCCTGTGTATGTGTGCGTGCGTGCGTGCGTGCTTTCTTTTCGTTTGTTTTTTTTTTTTTTTTTTTTTTGTCAGGTGACGTACGAAGAGGTTCTAGTTTTAGGCACACATTCGGGACGCACAGTTTTTACTGTGAATTTTCGCTCTATCTGAGTCTGGTTTTGCAGGCAGTGCGTTTGTTTGTTTATTTTTTATGTAGAAAGGTGGCAGATTTTTTAAGGTTTTTCAGACGATCTTAAATCCCAGTAGACTCGCATATCGTGAGTAAAGCAAGAAAACTGCACCGCAAAGAGATCCCCTCCACAGGCGGGTACCGTATTGTCTCCTCCGGTTTCCCTTCTTTCCCTGCCACCGGCCAAACCTTTACAAATACTACTTCTCAAAAAAATAATTTCCAATTTGTTTTATCACGCGACTCGCTATGGAAAAAAAAAGACCTCACGTTCAACCAGCAAAAAAAATAAAGAAAAGAAACGTGATTTTTGAAGTCTAGCCCAAAACATAAGAAATGGCGTTTACTGCACAAAAAACAGATTTCGAGTCCCAACTTCGAGGTCGGTGTCCGGTTCCTTCTGTTGGCGTGGCAGAGGGAACCGGTGTAAAAGAGTTTTAATAAACTTGATGGGTCAGAGTGCTCACCTCCGTACCCCATGTAGTTCCGAAACGGTGTATCCACGAAGTTCGTAAGCCCGCAGTGCGCCAAGTCCGCTGGCGGATCGTGGCACTGGTGGTTCATCGGCGTGGGACCGGTGTCTTCGCAGAGGTCTCCTGTGTCCAAAGACGCCCGCGTCTCGAGACAGTCGTCGTAACACTCCACCTCGGACACTCCCCGGTGCACGTGCCAGAGGCCCAGCACGTGTCCCATTTCGTGCACGAGCGTGTCCAAGCGACCCGGGCGCCCGAAAGACTCGGGCTGCACAACCACGCCTCCTAAAAAAAAAAAAAAAAAAAAAAAAGAAATCCATAAAACTCCTTTCAAGATTTTTTTTTTACATTAATATGGAAAGTTATTTTCTCCACTAACTTACGCACTGCATATAGACTAAGAACTAAGCAGCGCGTAGGTCGGCGCGCTCATTTTCTCGCAGATATTGCGAGCATGACGGTTGCCATATACCTTTGCAGATCGATCTCATCATAGACGCTTTGCAGCAGGTGTGCGTGTGAGCCGCCATAACCGACCTTCAGCTTTTGTTTCCTTGTATTCCGCTTATTTCAATTCATCATTACCACAGCCGACCAGGTCATTGCCACTTTAGGTGCCACTGCCCCCTTGTACACAGCATAGGCCTTTATAGAGGCTCGTCAATGCCCGCTTCACTGGCTCGACATCTCGCTAAAACAAAAGAAGGTCAGCAATGGCGGCTGTAATCGGCAGTGTGTGCAAAGCGTCTATGTAAAACAGACGCCTTCCGGGCATCATTATTCACCGAACGATTTCAGCAGAAATCCTACAATCTGTGTCGATGAGACAAGCAAAATTCATAAAAATACTCTCATTCATATTCCAGCATGCGAGCCAATGAGCATTTTTATTTCCACGCTAAAACGGCGTTCAAAAAATAGGCCACGAAAGTTGTTGGATTTCCAGGTATAAATGGTTGTGTATCTGCTCGCATAATTCGAACAAAACGCTCGAATGCTAAGGTTATTAGGATAACGCTAAAGTATAGAAACACACTCACCCTGGACAGAGAAGACCTCTTTTTCCCACGGGAACGTAGCAATACCGATTATGTTTCTGTCGGTCCATTCAGCGAAGAGCACATTCACGTGGAACGAATTATTGAAGCCTAGGAGATCTTTGTACTCTTTTACTTCCACGTATGACCTGCAGAAAAGCAGAGAATCAGAGTACAGGTAACAAATTAACCATGATTAATAATATTAATTTTAATAATGAAAATATTAACCATTGAGGATACACTAGCAAAGAAACTTTTTAGGTTCTACTCTAGGGAGACCATTTCTCAAGGTTGACCAATTTCTCGAATTATTTTACACTTAAACAATGTGTCAATAAACGTTTCTTTTCTTTCTTTTCTTTTTCTGCAGAGTGCATTTTAGCTGAGTTTGCGCTTATTGAAGTTTCTTAAAACGCAAATTTATGTCAGTACAATGCTATAACAATTTTTCTTTCTCACACAACCAGTTGCCGAGTAAGACCGTGTTTATTTATATTTGTTAATTAGTTAGTCGTTTATTTATTTAATATTTATTTTAACTGATTTCTTCTTCCTTAAAAAAATGAAACCTCAGGAGGTGGAGACCCTAATCTCGATTAATTATGTAACTGAAGGAGTGCAAAATTATATTCTTGGCGATGCTATGAAATAACTTTAAACATTTTTCTACACGCTTCAGGCACAACTCTCTAAAGCAAAGTCGCACTACGCATGCATCATACAAAAGACAGTCTGCAAACACGAGTCATCTTCCATATCCGTGGTTCTCGTTTCGCGTGCCAACGTTCTCCTTGAACTCATTGCCATGTTGCATTCGAAGCACGGATCTCGCGGTGACTCGCATTCGAATCTGTATGGGTATGAGACGTGTGTATGATGTACAAGTAGTCTGATCCAGCCTTTAGGCCACTGCTGTCTGAAAAAAATATTACATTGTTTTGTCCACTTTCGATGCCCTCGCATTCGGTTTCCCATAAATGTTAATTATGGTTCAAACCCTGTCTGTGGATGCCAGTTTAAAAAAATGTTTGGTAGAGAATTACCTAAACTATATACTGTTTACGACCTATAGTTTCTGTAATTCATGAGGTGAAATTTAGACCCCCCCCCCCCCCCCCCCCCATATAAAAAAGCATAAAAATAAAAATGTTAAACCGGCAAATTATACAGAGCACTGTTGCGAAAAGCCGGTGATGGTCGCTTCGTCACATTTGGTTGTAGCTTGGGAAGCTTACTGAAATAATATTCAAAACTATTCATTTGTTTTACTAGATTGATCAAATTAAATTGAAAAACCAGCACTTCATGATGAAGTTCATCGCAAATAAATAAAATATCTCAAACATTGCTTACAGTAAAATCCTGCCACTTGGTGCAGGCAAACCTTATTTGAGCCGTTCCGCTATAAGACCTAATTGCGACACCCTGGGGTTAAACTGTAATCACCCTTAGAACTCGCATATTGGGACAAATATCATAGCATGAAATCGCAGAAATTTGTTCGTTCGTCGGTCAGTCCGTTCGCGCATTTACATGGCATAATTAGCGGGAAAATCGACATCACGTAACCTGACGTCACGTATTCCCATACACCAATTGGGTGGTTTCCTCGCTAAATTTGACGGAAATATTGACGTCGTGTGGTTTTTATACCGATGTTCTTTTCCCGCTAAACTTTGTGAGCAAATTGATCTCGCGTCACCTGACGCCAAATGACCTGTACACCAGTGCATTTTCCCCGCTAACTTTAACGGGGAAATTTACGCCACTGTTATCATGACATCACGCAAGCTATACGCTAATTTAGTTTTCCCGCCAAATGCAGCGGAACAATTCACGTCAGCCGACCTGACATCATGTGCCGTGGATTTTACGGCTGAAATTAGCGCTGAAAATAATAAGCAATTGCATGGTTTTTCGCTCCCAAAACGACTGTTCATTTACTTCTTAACGAATGTACGCGATTGCTCTTTAAATACTGCTTTCGTTGCATTTCATAAATTTAAAAATCGAAAACGATGAGATTTTTTTTAATCGAAACAGTGAATGTATACCTTTCTGGAGATGCAGGGTCGAGGCAGTTGCCATGCTCGTGTCCAGCCAAACAACAGTCTCCGCCGTCCCAGGCATGAGCGGCCTGGTTGCACTGCCTCTGACAACGGCCGTCTCCCACCAGCTTAGGCTCGCACGGTTCCGGGTTCGAGTCGCAGTCGCCGCCATCGTTGCCCACCAGCTGGCAGTCAGGGTTGCAAACGCCGTCGCCCAAGCTGTGCGACTGACAGCCCAGGGTGACCTGCCTCCTCCGCAAGGAACTGTTCAGCACAGAGGCCTGCGCAGAAAAGCCGTGTATCGCATTCCGTAGTAGCTGTCTGCTTCACCGCAAATCCTACGAAAAATTACGCAAGTTCGATTACCATGAGCAGGACTAGTGGGCACCGAATGTGTTGAGCGCAAACCACACAGTTCGTGAGTGGATTGTCCAAGTGAGGCGGATGTGAGCGTGACGGGCCCAACGGAAACCGCACACATCATTTCATAATGTCATCTGACAGCATGACCAACGTTATCTCAGTTACGGAACTGCTCATAGACGCTGCGCGCACGAGCAGTACCCCCCCCCCCCCCCCTCTCTCACCGAAGCTCGCCTCCCGTCGTTCGACGCGCCGGACGACTGCTATGGGAACTGCAGTGTATTCTAGGGAGTACGTACGTTTTGAAGCACGGGGGGGGGGGGGGGGGGGGGGGGGGTACTTCTCTCCGCGGGAGTTCTATAAGTAAAGTAATCTAGTAACGGTGACCATGGTATTGCGTGACATCATAAGGTCACGTGGTGCCATGTAACCTCACGGGACCCCATAATGCCTTCAGTAGAACCAGTATCAATATCTTCAACTCGGATATTCTACTGTTAAAGTCTTCTCCAAGTAATATTTAAACATTTATTGCGTATCCTAGAGACGTGCTGAGTTTTGTGTTTTTTTTTATACTGAATTATCATCTTTCTATTATTTGGTATTGAGGTTTAGTGATACGACAAACGTAGTACACCATCTTAGCTAGTTTCATATCCCACATAGAATACTGTTGAACGACATCAGAGAAAGGGCAACGACGTCTCGGAGTGGGTCATCTTTTTCTGTGCATTATAATCAGGACAATTTTGCTGTTCATGAGCACATCTTCATCATCATCATTATTATTGTTATTATTATTGTTACCATAAATATAGCATCACGTGATGTCGTAAGGCACGCCGTCATGCGGCGTCCTAATGTTAAGTAAGGTCACGGTGTCACATGACATTATGACGTTGTTGTGGGCTCTATGGGCTTTGCGTAACATGTAACGCTGGAGTCTGACGGCCGAACGTAACGCTCTTTTCCATAGAAAACGGCTCATAAAATGCATTCTGTCTAAAGCTGTAAAATAATTATGTTTTCTTTTACGTCTCGCTTCTTTGGAAATTAACGGTATTATTTGTTATTGTGTGTATGAAATTCAAAGCACGAACGCATTTCAAGAATACTCAACCCCATAAAAATTAATACCTAACAAAATATGCCATCCCAGTTACTTTTTTTTTTAATGCGCGGAAGAAACCAGTCATAGAGTAACAACCAGCTGGGACGCAACGGAAGGGCATTGGCACAGTAAATTGCTTCACGAATTATGACTGTTTTATGTAATACCTCTCGTCTAAATTGGTGAAAATCTGCATTTCCAGCGGGTCAGATATTGCAATGTTTAACAGAGCTTTAAGATTGCCTATCGTTTAGGTAATTTGTCACCCTGAATAGAAACCTGGGAGCTCGAGCACCGAATGTTAGTTTAAAATTCTATTTTCTACAGATTACGCGATGCAGTTGGCCCCGGAGCGATACTGACCTTTTACCTCGAGTTATAATTATAAAAGTTACTTTAGAACAGAACTTTTCCGCTTCTCAAGTTCGCTTCTTGTAGAAATTGTTACTTGACAAATTTCTATAAGATATTTTATTCGTCGGAAACAGCCAGGCAAATGGCAGTCTCACGTTTTCCGCTCTTGGCATCGCGCTTTATACCTCAAGCGTAACTTCAAACATGCAGTAAAATGTAGAAAATAGAGCCCGAATGGGCTCTATTTTATGACTATTTTATGATTAATTTACACCTTCGTATTAATATCAGATTATTTGACTTTTACCACCTATTTTGTATAACTAAGTGTGCTCAGCGTCTATCGGTAATCATGGTAGGAAACGTAAATGTGTCCTTAGAAAATAAAAGCTTTTGCCTGACTCATATTTGTTTAAAATGGTGACCGCGTTCTGTTAACTCGCCTTAACTTATGGCTGTGTTTGTTTGTTTTTTATATATTGTTTTTTGTTACTGCACTAGCAGTTCCCGTACAAAGAAGGTTGCACCTCAACGACAACTTCGTGCAGCGCTAGTCAGTTTGCAAAACAAATGTCGACAGCATCCCTCGCATCTTCAACCACAAGACACGGCAAGCTGAAACTCTTGGAGGAAAGGGTAGGTAGCCCGAAGTATCGGCGGCACAGTATTCCCAGATACCTTACTAGGAGAGTATATTCTACTCCGCTTATTCACATAAGAGAGTGCTCCAACAGCTTTAAATTTTCCGCTGGCGGTGTGTACATATCGTTACCAAAAGAACACGTGCGCATCGCGCTATGCTTAGGCAGACGGCTGCCGCCGACGCACCAAGATACCGCCAAGACAGCAAACACGATTGCCATCGCTGTCTCGTTGGCTGCACGCCCACGACGATAGATGGCGGCAGGCATTCTTCCCAATTCAAAGAGGAAAACCCCAAGGCTGAACAGGTCCAGCCGTTCCTACTACGCAAAAGCTATCGGCGCCAAGGACATTAGATTTTCGCGGAGTGAGATATGTTTCCCTTATACACACATGGTGTCAAATGCATAAAATTGGAAAGGCCCTTTTTTCTTCTCTTAATTGAAACATGTACGTTGAGCTCGTTCTTGTGTTGCCTACCTGAGTGACGTCCCAGGTAATGTTATAGGGGGAGAAGGCGTCGTTCAATGCCGCATGCTGTCGTTGAATCTGTTCTTCAGTCACGGTGGGATTAGAGCCGTCAGAGTTTTTCACGTTTATTACCAGGTACCTGCGAAGTGCATTGAGAGGGAGGCTTGCAGTTATCGTTCACTCTAAAATTCACTTCTAAGCATTTTTTTTTATTATTATTATTGACTAAACAGTTTTGAACACAACTTTATGCAATATAAACGCTCGTTGTTTTTTGGTCAAATGTCACTCGTCGCTACTTGTGGTAGCTACATGTCCATCATACCACTTTTTAAGACAGAATGTTTTAATGGAGACAAAGCTCTAATTTGTGCGTCTCACCGTTGCCTCACCGTGCCACAAGAAAATTGGCGAGAGGCGTCATTAACTAAATTTAGAGAACTAAAGTACTGCTAAGCTTGGGTTACGTGGCCCGTGCCTCTATCGGTCAGGTGGTCACGTGACTGGTGCCACTATGGATCACGTGATGTAAAGTCAAAAGACTCATGGTGCAAAATCGTGGTTCCACGTGATGTCACGGATTCAACAACGTTATTAGATCTACTAACGTCAGATGTCAAATAATGGCGGTGCAATGTTAATCATGTCACGTAACCTGACGTCACGTCACAAAAACCCTCGGGTCTTTTTATGAGAAAAAAAAAGATATAGCATATAGGTAGTGGGAGATAACCCCATATTAGCGCAAAAGCATGCACGAGCACACACAAAAAAATATATTTCGAGGATATGCTTAGCGTTTTCTCGAATTAAGTATAATTGTGTCTGCATATTCGTTTTACTTTCAACGCCCATCATTAGTCTGCCTTAATTTAGTTCATTCAGAGGGAAGGGGGAACAATATGGCGCCTCTATGTCATAATGACACAGTGACAACATGCGTACCCCCCACTCCTTTTTGCCACTAAATTTGCGTAGTCATGGGATAAAGACACCTATCGTCCCTCTCATTGGCTGAAGTGATTAAAGAAAGACCCATTACGAGTGTTCCTTGTGTATCGCGGATCAGTGAACACTCAGCAACTTCTGAAGTGTGTCTTATAATTTGGCGCAAGGAACTGGTTTGAACACTGTTACTCGAGGCACTGAATTTCTGAACTCAAATGGAGACGGCACAACGAAGACAACGCAAAATGAGGCGAGGGACAAGTCGAAGAAACTTACACAACAAGTGCTGAATAACATATTGCTACAGCAACGTTAGAGGACAATCATTTCACACTGACTTAGATATGCTTTCTGGCATTCATATCAGTGTAACTGGTAGTGAACTGATGCACGTATAACCCTCCATGCAATGTGGAACGCTTCAGAAATTTTTCTCGTTCTCTGGTTGCTATTCCGCACCATGACTTCAAGTCCGTGACAGTAAACTTTGGGACACAGTTTGCTGAGACACAGGTCTTGACGCGGCATGGCGCCTGTAAGTGTGGATCTCCACACCTACAAGTGCTGAAACCAGAGTCGGCGCCGTACGCGAAGAACAAGAAACTACTATAATATGATACAAAATCTCACTCGTGCAAAATTGAAGATCATATCCCGGACACTACTGTCACCTGCCTGAACTTGTTAAGGTAGCCTTAAGCCGCAGTAACACAGCTAATACATCATACAAAAGGGAGTCTGCGGACATTGTCTAAGGCACACATATGTATAAAGTAGACATGCTTCAAACATGCGTGAGTCGTGCAATTATATAATTTTCTCATCATCTCCACAGCGAACTCCGCGTCTTTCGTATGCTGTATCGTAGCCTCCTATATACTGACAAACCCTGGCAGATCGCCATGAAAAGCGGCCGCTGAAATGGAAAGGGTGGAGCTGCAGAACACGGATGAGAGGAGAGCCAGGTGACTGGCGCCGCGCTGCGGCGAGATGCCGAAGCACACTTCTCCCGAGCGAACAAGTGTGTTTCGGGTCCTCGCCGCTGCAAAAGCTGAACGCTGACGTCCAGGTTCCCAAACAAATGGCTCTTCGATGATCTCCACTACCAGATCCTAGCGCTCCGAAATCTGCGACCGGGCACTCTATGGCGCCGCCGTCGAACTGCCAGACTTTGTGAGTAATAGAGGAGGCTATGGGTGTATAGGCACCGTGACCGCTGCGGCTTTCGAGAATAAAACTGTAGGAGAGAATGGCAAATCCGAGCACCTCAATGTTTTCGGCGTCCTCAGGTGCCAGTGCTCTTGATAGCTGAGCACAACTTCCGGTGCGTCGCAAACCGTGAAGCCACAGGGCACCGGTTGCGCCCGAACCCCGCTGGGTCGTGCGGCTGCCGGCGCCTGCACCAGGCGAGGAGATCCCGTCCACTCCCATTTGTCCAGGGAGTCGAAGGCGTCGGTGAACAGGGCACCCTGGGGGTCATCTTGATGCCACAGGTCGTGTTGCACCTGAACCTGGCTCAGAGCGCGACCCCAGGTCCGCACGCGGTCCACGAGACCCCGGTAGTAGCTGCGACGACCGCCCCCGATCGACAAGCTTCGACAAGAGCTTCCAGATTTCTGGAAAATGTAGCCCTTCTGCTCGCCTGTGATGGCTACCTGGGAAACCGGTAAAGGAGGAAGGGTCAGAACCAAGTTTGTGCCGATTTATCAACTTTTTTATAACCACCAAGACCTCTACTAAACTGTTGAATGCCTAATCTGGGGTACCTTTCAAACATTTCTGCTACGAAGAAAAAACGCGAAGACGACCAGGCTCTTAAGAGAACGAGAGAAGCTTGGAAAGCTTCTTGTCGGTCGGAAGTCTTGGAAGTAAAACGGATATCAAGAAAACACAGTACACATCCCGTTAGTTCTACTATTTGAAAGCCACAGAAATTTAAACAAGGTAATTTTACAAAGTCTCAGATGGATGACACCCGATTCAGATATTTATAAAAGCTTCCATAAAGACTCCAAGCCTATCCAGTATTTGTTACGCAGTTAATTTGGTGCTTGAGCGCGATTTGCTAGTACAAAAAGAAAGATAACCTGCTTGCTACTTTTATTTATAGCAATAATGCTTGGGATTTCTTGCCTCCGATTTAGCAAGATTCAATCATCAAGAAACTTGAAATAGCTGAAAACCCTGCAATCGTGAGATTTCTAGAAACAGGATATCAACCCGAAAGAGCAAAAAGCATTTTTCATACAGCAAAAAAAAAAAATTAAAAAACCACCTTTGCCGAAAGTTTTAACTGCTCTTGAATGTAGCGCTACAAAGGTTGGGATCAGTTTAGAGAGCTTTAGAGCTGAAAGTTATAAAATTTAGAAGGAAGAACATGAAAGGTTTGCAGCTAGTATTAACAAACGTCATTTTTGCGTTGAACATTTCTAACACTGCTTGTAGCTTTTCCATCCGATAATATTGAGTTCTGGAACTGTGGCGATCTACTTCAAGCCCCACACTTTAAGTAAATCTAAAAGTCCCTCAGATGTTTAGCTGATTTCTGCGGTCGGGAAACAATGTTTCGAGCTTCAAGCTTTTATGTCGGGCTCCGATATGTACAGACATAGTTGAGGGAGTACGTAATATATATTAAGCCCAATTTATTTATGGCTTTAGATACCCTTGTATCTCGCTGGAACGCGACAGGACAGCACACGAACAAGCAGCACCCGACAAAACAGCATGATCCAAACAGCACGATCAAAACAGCACCGCGTCAAAACAGCATAGCGACAAAACACCGCGCGACAAAACGGCACATGTCAAAACAGGAGAGCGGCAGAAGAGCGCGTGTCAAAACAGCACGCGACAAAACAGCACAACAATCAGACAGCACGCCGTTAAATGCATGCTGTTTTCCTGCTGCAGGCCACATGATTGGCAGCACGCGCCTAAATTAGGTATTTTCTCCTAGCGTGTTCAGCAGAACATGTGCATTGTCGGTAGATTTTATTATCTACCGTTATCTGACTTTATATTATTACTTTATCAATGGACGAAGAGAGTGTTGGTGCGGATCAAGATTGAAGAAAGAATAAACATGTAGGACAAAGACGACATAGCCACATATTTAAACTAGCAACGGACACGATAGGAATTCCAAAAGCGAACAACCGATTAAATGCGGGAAAAACGAGGAAAGGGAAAGCAACTAAGAAGATGGGAAGCAGGAGAGAAATGGGATGCCGCATTTTTATCGATATTAAAGGTTAACGCATTAACAATCAATCGGCCATTAAAGAGACGGCAAGAAATATAGCCTCATAGGCATGCAGTGGGAGGGTTTCATATCAGTGAGCATGCGCGAAAAGCTAAAAGAATGGGTAGCAAAATAACGGCGCAGCCAATGATATAATGTCGGTAGATAATAAAGTCCAACGGGAGTACCCATGCAACGGTAGATAATAAGATAAATATAAAAAAGATAATGAATGGATCAAAATAATGCTTGATAATAAAATGGAACGGCAATACACATGTTCTCCTGAACACGTTAGCAGCTGGAACTTAATTTAGGCGTGCGCTGCGAATGATGTGTCCTACAGAGAAAAACAGCTTGCATTTACGTGCGCACTGATTGTTACTGTGCTGTTTTGTCCTGCGCTGTTTTTGACACGTGCATTTCTGTCTCTCTGCTATTTTGACGCCGTGCTGCTTTGTTGCATGCTGTTTTGACGAGTGCTGTTTTGTCGCTGTGCTGTTTTGATGCATGCTGTTTTGACCGTGCTTTTTTGACCGTGCTGTTTTGACCGTGCTGTTATGTCGTGTGCTGTTTTGTCGTGTGCTCTTCTGTCCTGGTGCCGTATGTCGTAACCTTAATATTTGGCTTGTGTATAGTCCATTTAAACTAGATTGATAAACTAACGTATCAAACAAAATAAGACAAATAAAAGCAGCAAGAATATGATTTTCCGAGAAATATAACTTTGGAATTAAAGAACAAAAGTTGGATTCAAATGTACAACACTAAAATTCTAAGAGCTCAACAACACCTCTAATCTAATACTTCCATCTCAACACATCTTAACTTCTGATCCCATGCACCGCCAATCGGTACAAAGAAATAACTCCGAAAGATCTTGTATGTCAGTGTCTCTAAATTCTTCACAAATTACTACTAGTGCGTATCTACTTACTACCAAGTGGAATGTATGGCCGTATAAGTTGTCTTCTCGTCATTTCTACTAATCTTAATTAAAAGTTCGCTATAATGCACTCCATCATGCGCAGCTCGGAAAATAAGCCATTTTTACACGTTGCAACCATGTATGCGGGTCGCCCTGTTGAGGGACTTAGACGCATTTCTTTAAGCACTGCACCTGTGCTCCGTTAATGTAAAGCCTGGCGTAGGTGCCGTCGAATGTGGCCGCCACATGATGCCACTCTCCAGGAGCATACACGACGGGGCTACGAAGCACCGAAGTCTCCTGAGAGCGGGCTGCTTGAAGCCTGAAGACAAAGTGACCATTGCGGTCGTCGTCTCTGCCACTGGCCTCGATGCGGAGGGACCACTGCTTGGCTGTCAGTGGTGAGCACACATCGCGGGCCTCTGCAGAAACAAACGAAAAATTTTAACAAAATGGTGAGTTGAGCCAGTTGGTTCATAATGGAAAAAGTCAAGTGCCGAAAGACTAGGACAAGGTAAGAAGACGATGACACAAGGCGCACTCGCAACTGAAGTTTTATTTTATGGAAAAACATAGTCTCATATACACTTTTAAAAACACCCATGTCACTTTCCACGTGCCCACTCTTTATCCAAGAATAAACGCTCTTTTTCTGACAGAGTCACAGAAGGGCTCGCTTATGCACTTATCTGCACCCTTCCTTATTGCATACGCCTCAAGAATTTCCCTTGTAGTCTTTTTGCTGTATCGCCCCAAGATTGCCACGTCATTGGCATTTGGCTGTGCATTGCAACCGATGTGAGTGCACACCAGTTTTCAATGACGTGGCAATCTTGGGACGATACAGCAAAAAGGTTACAAGGGAAATTCATGGGGCGTATGCAATAAGGAAGAGTGCAGATAAGTGCATAAGCGAGCCTTCTGTGACTCTGTCAGAAAAATAGCGTTTATTCTTGGATAAAGAGTGGGCACGTGGAAAGTGACGTGGGTGTTTTCAAAAATGTATATAAGACTATGTTTTTCCATAATATAAAACTTCAGTTGCGAGTGCGCCTTGTGTCGTCGTCTTCTTACCTTCTCCTAGTCTTTCGGCGCTTGTCTTTTCTTAACAAAAAAATTGCCCAAGCTTGATTACACTAACAATGACCGAAGAGCACAAAATGTCTTAAACACAAACTACTATCTCGCAGAACCACCTCCCAGAAATTGGCATCAGGTAGCTTAGCGTAACATGACGGTCACGGTACTTGATCATTTGATGATAATTTCTTTCGCTAAATTTAGTGACAAAATTGACGTATTGACGCGAAGGATCTTCGCGACAATTTTTTGATAAAATTTGACTCATAAAACCTTTTCTGTACTAAAATTCAGTCTGTGTAACCCTTTGGTTTCTAAGCAATACATTTATTTGTAACAGACCTCAGCTGGGGACCTGAAACTTTTCCTTAATAAGCATTGCAGGAAGCGCTAAAATTGCTCTAGGGCATTTTCGGTATCGGTAGTTTTGTACACACACAAAAATAAAAACAAGTGTTCACATTTCCCCAGAATTCGCAAGTAACCAATCACAATGAACAGCGACAGCATCTTGGTGAAGGAGGAAGTTCAAAATACGACGCGCTCCAACCTTGTGATTGTGCAGGGAGGCGCGATGACCGCTAAGTTGGAGAGATGTGGTCAGCTTTCGGGGAACAATCAGGGTCTAAAAGCCAGTTTAGAATGCCACCACTTTTCTAATCCTGTTAAATTAAAGTTCTACGCCTATCGTATACTACCCCAGCTGCGGATGTTTTACATTCCAGTGGTAGTATTGTTCTCAACTACGTGAGCTTTTTATACAGTTCAATTAACACTTGTCACGTTTCTCGCAAATAAATTTTAATTTAATACTGTAACTAGCCAAATTTCGTCGAGTTTTAAGGCGCATTTATTTAGTTTGTTTAATACTCGTGCTTCTGTTATTGCTTTAAGGAAATTAACTGCCGTTGTAATATACAGTTGGCTGTAATTTTTTGTACAAATTATGTCTACAAACGTGTGTTGCCTGATCCCACCGTCCATTTTGTAACTACGTTCTTAAAACCCACAAATACAACTTATAATGAAAATAATAGCAATAGTACTTTCAGCTTTTTTTTAACTTCTTAAGGTTGATTTGTGCTGGCTCAACGAAGATGCTGAATTTGGTTGTTTTGTTGCAGAAGCACTGCCTATGTAATCCCTACAGTATAATAATTTGTATAACGCATTTTTCTCGGTATCTTGGCCACATAAAGCGCTACTTTAACACTGTCTATATCACTGAAAGCTTGATTTACATAGCTTCCCCGTCTAACACACTTCCTTTGGATCACACGCCTTCTCGTATCTCTGCCATGTCGACTGCGTTTGATAGCGCCTAACAACGCCAGACTCTCGAAAGGCCGGCAAAAAGATAAACCATCAACCACTAAGAGGCAACGCACACATCCCTTCAGTCTACAGAAGATGACTTTCACGGATGCACGTCCACCAGTTCAATATCGCTCGCCGTGCTATAACTGCTTGGCAGGTCACAGCTTCTGAGAAGATAAGCCAAAAGGAGAGCATCGCGGTGAGAAATGGAACGACATAGAACGGTCCTTACTGCAAACATGTGATTGCACAATCAGCTGCTCTTGCAAACGCACGGTGAGGGTGACGAAACATCGGATAGATATCTGTCGGCAGGGCTCCTGCTCAATGAAACGAAGCCTTCGGGTATCTTCTTTCGTCGTCATCATTTGCGTCCATTTTTATACTGATGAGAGCCGTTGAGTGGCTTTGGCTTATTCCGCACACACTCTTTAAAAAAACTATGGGTTATTAAAAAGTCCGGAATGTAGCCTGTTTGAACAACTCTGGTTGTCTTTCTTTGACGAGGTCTTTTTATGCCGAAAGCAAACTCGTTCGCAGCCACCAATGGCAAACGGTAAGTTAAGAAACAATTATTTTTCTATAACAAACCCAAGATACTTGGAGGACGTACATCATAACAGGCAGAGAAGTGTATAGCATTACGAGATTGTAAATGTTAGATTGTCTGAAATGGGTGCATTGTTGTATGCTTTATAATTTCGAAGGAATTGCTTGAGTGCGTGGTGGCAAGCAACGATCGAACTTTGATTCGGGATCAACAAGAATGGGGCTTCACTTGTGTGTAATCCTGCTTCCTTAACTTTGATAACGTTGCGATTGCGCACGTTTTGTTTTGTCTCGTGTAAAAGTTCTAAAAGCAAGGGACACGCTCCGACCGTTTCCCTCGCTATCTCCTTTTTACGTCCAGCCTGGAGGGGACTTTTAATGCGAAAGCATTAACTGCCTCGTGGAGCGAGCTGACGTCATCAGTCTGAAGCGCGAAAACGGCGGATAGTTTCCTTCGGTTGCATTGGCTGGCGCGCGTCGACGGCGCAGCGACCCATTGGCCGCCGCGCTCGTCAGTTCCCGAGACCACTCACTCCACAGTGCTGCGTAGTCATCAGCGCGGAGCCTCCAAGGTCACCAGGGGAGCACACGCACCGAGCGGCGACGAAAAGTACGCAGCAGACGAAAAAGGGAGCGGACGAGCGGCTTGCATGCTTTAGTGTTTACAACTCATAATGAATGCTTAGGTGTACCTCGATCTTTTTTGTTTTTCTCCGTTAGGGAAACCGTTGTAAGCAAGATAACTTTCCCGCCTTTGTGCGAGCGGGCGTGTGCAGAGTTGATTCAATTGACGAAGGTAAGATATACAGTTACTCTACTTTAGGCGAAGAAGGCTACTGTTGTCTCCTTATTCTCAGAAAAAAAAAGATATATTCTTATACCCCTTGTCCCATATAAGACACCCCAAAACTTCAGTTGGACGTACAGCGCACTCACGTCGAACCGACTGTACCAACTCTCACGAGCGGTGCGATAGCCGAGTGGTACAACTTATGAAAATAGCTAATGTATGTGTTACTGACTACCAAAACAGTAATCGTGGTTTTCTTGGCCCTACTTCAAAATCTCCGTGCTTTTTTTTTTTTTCTTTAGACTTTAATACATGCTTTCGCTGTTTAAAGGAGCGATGCAACGATATTTAATTGGAATTTTTTTTTTTTCACTTTACAGGAGCTTACGGCACTAGTGGGACTCAAGGATACTCGCACGCAACGCCACTGGCCACGAAACTCCTTTGTTGCAGTGTAATTTCAAGGACAAAAGCAATCATTTTCGTTCAATCTCTTCTTTGCAAAATTTGATGACGTAACGTGGGAATCGCAGTACACCCCAATGACGACATTTGAATGCGGTTCATAGATGGGACCCGAGCATTGCGTGGGCACTCGATTTGGGCTCGTGATAATCGATAGCTCGAGAAGCGTTCGGGTAGTGGCCCGTGGCCCGTCGCTGCAATGACGACAATAGCCGAGCCATAACAATGTCTGGAACTCAGCGCGTGTCCTGTGCTTTGCCAACCCCAGCGCGTGGCTATGATCAACATTGGCGGCATATAACCGGCTCCAGATCAGGTAGCCGCTTGTTCTGGCTGCGAGTTGAGGGAGTGAACGCGGCTCGTTTTTCTTTATTTTTTTGTCTGGAACTTCTATTGCGTGGGGTGAAAAACAAACGCGTGTTTCATATGTCGTTAACGTCAGGGATCCGTTCTAAGCGGTATTTGCGCAAATTACAAAAATGTATGCATCGCTCCCCTTTACTAAGTTCAATCGCACCGCTATCAAACCCCTCGCAAAAGTTTAGGCCGTCAGTTCAACGTCCGTGCGCTGTACGTCGAACTGGACTTTCGGGGTGCACTATACGGCACAAAAGAAGTGTAAGACTGGACCCCTTTATTTTTAATATGTTGACGACGACGCGCGGCTTCTTTGACTCTCTAATCGACGGTTGTCTGAGCCTCTATGACCCACTGCTCGCTCGGCGCGGTGCCTTTGTGAAATTGTGCTTTAATGAACGCTGTTCAATCAAGATCACTGCTTGATGTGACGCTACTCCTTGTACTTGTCACAGTCACCGAACGTAATAGGAAAGGCAACCGCCTTTGTGGTCGGAGTAACCGCGTGGGGGGGGGGGGGGGGGGGGGGCAGTTCCTTTGGGACAGCGGTTCTTTATTTCGTCCAGGTGTGTAACTTAATCCTCATGCAGTCGTAAAATAACATTAGCAGACCATTCTTCTTTTTCATATCCAGATTTTCGCAGGCAATAGTTCTCTGGCGCTTGCACGTCAGTTTAAGACTATTAATTTGATATACTCGCGTCTGTACAACCGAAACTCAGACTATATTACAATAGGATAACGTTAGACATCTCCACGCACTAATATACAATATAATATGTACAAAAGGTTACGTGAAAGTTGACTCGGATTTTTTTAATTGGCATTGCAACTTGTTCCTTATCAACGTTGCCAGATTACAAA